CCACGCTTGGGTGTGGGACCAGCCCGTCGCGCCGCCGCCCCTCCTACCAGTCTCCATGCGGCTGCTGCTTTAATTCCGTAGTGGTAGGACTTCCATTCAGCTTGAGTTCAGGTGGTTTTTGTTCTGTAGTTTAGTTGTAACTTTAATGTAGTTGTGGGAGGACGCGATACCGCGTTTACCTACGCCGCCATCCTGACCGGAAGTCCTCCGGTCAGGACTGTTTGTGCTTTTTGTGTCACATCAAAAAAATCATTGCCAAGTCCAATATTAAATGGCTTTTCCCCATGTTCTCTTCTAGAAGTTTTATGGTTTTTTCAAGTCTTTAATACATTTTGAGTTACTTTTTGTGAGTTGTGTAATATAGGGTTGTTTCATTCTTTTATACATCACATCTTTCAGAAGCTTGAGATTGGGAAGAACTAATGACAGAGGATTGGTATTATTTCTGAGGATTTGCTTAAAACATTATTTTCTAATATTATTTGACAGACTTTCTTGCCAATATCGAGCACCAGTTTAAATTTTTCTTAGTGGTATGCTGGTGGTGGTCCCCTCCCTACCTGTGAGCATTAGGGCCCCATAATGGGAGCCTGTAAGTTGTTTTCTGTATTTCAAAAACCTATCAAATTACGCACTATAGTATGCATATAGAAGTCAAATATGACCATAAAGGCCAAAATGACAGGATACTTTTTGCTTTGGATTAGTAATAACATTAACCCTGGTAATATTTATCATTCAAATATAATGGGAAGCCTTCCCTTACCCTTTCCCAGAGATGAGCTGTGACTCTTCCCTGGACATACATCTTTCACGTGATACTTACAGGAAGGATCTCCATATAAGTCTCTGTCTGAAATAAAAACTAGAAAGCATTCATTCAAAAAGAATGGTCTTCCTACTATTTTTGTCCTTACCCTCGGGAACTTTCTAATTTGTTATTTCATCTACTTGGATTGTTCTTCCCCTAGAAATTCAAATGGCTCAGATAACACCATCTCCCCCATCTTCTATCCTGGCTTATTTTCATTACAGCACATTTCTCCCTTACATCTTTGTATTTGTTTGTTTAAAGTTTCCCGTACTTGTCCTGGTCGGTTTGGCTCAGGGGTTAGAGCGTCGGCCCCAGACCAGAGGCCCGGGTTTAGTTACTGATAAGGGCAGGAGCCTCGGTTGCAGTCTGTCCCTGGCCCCGGCTGGGGTCATGTGGGTGGCAATCACTCAGTGTATCTCTCTCATGTCGATGTTTCTCTCTCTCTCTTCCTCCCTTTCTCCCTCCCACTGTATGTCAAGATAAATGCACAGATGTCCTCGGGTGAGGATGAAAAAAAAATTTTTCTTAATACATAAATAAATAAAGTTTCCCATACTAGACCTGAAGTTTCATGAGATCAGGGATGCCTAATCCCAGACCATAATAGGTGCATAACATGTGAAAGAATTTGCAAGTTTTTAAACAGCGTCTTATAACACAGGAGTTAAAGTAAATAAGACAGACATGATGCCTGTCTTCAGATTCTGTACTTCTTATAGTCTTGCTTCATTGGGAGCCTAAACAAATCTGAAGTGATTTAAAACTATTATAGTTGGATGTATTTGTTATTTGGCTTTGGAATATTTGTTACTTGCATTTAGCTATTTCATTTCTATGGGAAAGAGATGATAATATTGCAAAGTCGCTAATATTTAATCTATTTTTTAGACCTAGAAGGATCTTCAAAATTATGATTCAGCTCCTCAGCTCTTGACCAAAATAGATTCTTAGAAGTAAAGTAAATCTTCTGAAATCATGCTTAATACATAATGGGGTAGTATTTTAAGCCAGCCTTCTGGCTCTGAGTACAGTATTTTTTTCTACCTGCTTGATTATTTGAAGTAAAATATTCAAAATACCGTATATTAGAATAATAATTTTTTTCACTCTGTTTCTTCACATGGAAGCATCATCTGTCTCTCTGTTCAGTAAGTTATTATACTAAAACTGACTTACAATTATTTAAAAGACTTTTATCTTAGCCTGGCAGGTGTGGGTCAGTGGTTAGAGTGTTGGCCGGCACATCGCAGGGTTGTGGGTTCCATTCCCGATCAAGGGCATGTACCTGGGTTGCAGGTTCTATCCCCGCCCCAGGGTACATGTGGGAGACAACCAGTTGATGCGTCTCTCTCACATTGATGTTTCTCTCTCTCTTCCCTCTCTTCCCTCTCCCTCTCCCTTCCTCCCTCCCTTCCACTCTCTCTAAAAATCAATAGAAAAAATATCCTCAGGTGAGGATTAACCAAAAAAAAAAGATTTTTATCTTATCACAGGGCTCTTTTTCTTTGGTTTGAAAATGTGATTTTAATTATGAAATATGTCAAACACAGAAAAGTGTAGAATAATATAAATGATTTCTGTGTATCTACCACAGAAAATAAAATGATGTTAACATTAAAGAAAAAATACTTGAACCTTGCCCTTGTGTTACTTGTCCTTTCAGCACAACATTGTAGCATGCTTGGCACATAGTAGGCATTCCTACTAAGTATTTAGTCATATGACAAAACTAAAGCAATTTAGTAACAAGTTTGATGTCCTTTATTCAAGGAAAACAATCCATGAATTGGGGAGTACATTGCCTCACAAACAGTAGGGCACTCTTCTCAAAGGATTTTGGCCAAGAGTAGAGTTTTAGGCCATTAGAAGAGGCAATGTGGAAATGACATGACTGGCCAGGAGGTGGGAGATTTTCTTCTGAGGCTTTAGCAGGTCCTGTTTTCATCCCAAGTGCTGCAAGAGGCACACTGGTGTGCAAGAATTTTTAAAACATGCAATAACTGACTATTTATTCAGAGGCCCTCACCTCTTTTCCCTTAGATTGTCAAATAAAAGTGACAACAGCCAACACGGTAATAGCAATCTGATGTGAATGAATCAAAACTATGCCTCTTTTTTTGTCAGATTGGCAAAAATATGTATCTTTTGGTGTGCTGTAGAATGTTAGTAATTTATGTGTGCCATGAGATGAAAAAGGTTGAAAATCGCTGTTCTAGGGTAAAGTAAGCTCTCTGAAGCTCATTTGGAGGGTTTTGATTGGTGGTTTTTCTTAACAGGTGTTTTACCTAAGACAGTGTTGGTTGACAAATTTCAATTTGTGATTTAGGCAGGGCCACTGGGGCAACCTTCATTTTGTAGGTCCCAATACACACATTAATTTTATCAACTTAAGAATCTGTAATTGGCAGTTATACATGTTGTTTCAAAATGAGAAAATAATTTCTGGCATTTTTTATATTCGTAGATACCCATTTATGACTGACATACAATTAGTTGTAATTTGTAATTTTGCTGAGGCTTACATTCACCAACCCATCCCTGTTTTGTATAAGAGCTAGCAGAAGTGATCTTAGCTGGTAGGTAAACTAGCCAGTTGGCTGTACATCAGATCTCAATAACTTGGTGTTACAATCTCTTACAAATTATACTTTCAACTGCACTATTTCATACAGGTATTTACTGATGAAAATATTCCATAAGGCCTCAGGTTTTAACCTCCAAAAATATTCAGGATCAAGTAAATTATTTAACTATTGTCATAGAATAAATGGCTCTTTAATAAGGCTTGTTTATGCACGTGTTCAACACATTTATTGGGCATTGACTATGTGACAGGCATTATGCTATATGCTAAACTGACCCAAAAAATTCACAGCTTTCTGGGGGGAGGAGGAAATGCATGTCAGCATAACAAGTTAAATGTATCCCTTGTTAAGCACAGAAGAGGAAGCCCTAACTGCTTGCAGAAGTTGTGGCAGTGAGGGAAAAAAAGCCCTACAGAAGATGGCAGTTAAATAAAATGAAGGAGGTCATTAATAACTTGTATTAGGACACAGTGAAATGAAAGATTTTGTTAGGTTTGGGGAACTGCAAGTCATTGAATAACAGTGGATGAAAGTAAAATAGTTTAGCCCTGCCAGTGTGGCTCAGTGGTTGAGTGTGGACCCATGCATGCACCAAGAGGTCGCGGGTTCAATTTCCGGTCAGAGCACATGCCCAGATTGTGGGCCAGATCCTCAGCGTGGGGCATGAAGGAGGCTGCCAGTTGATGTTCTCTCTCATGATGTTTCTCTCTCCTTTCCTGTCTCTCTAGAATTAATAAAGAAAAAGTAAAATAGTTTAGATGAAGTTGAAAAATTACACAAGAATCTTTTTATAGTGAAAAGCTTTAAAAAAGTTATTAAGCAAGAATATGCACGTAAAGCAAATTTTTCTGTAGTTTTCAGATCTTATACTTGAATGTATTTAGGTACAGTACAATGTGCTTTTATTTTTTAATTTTTATTCTTTTACATTTATCTTCAGATAGAGTGGGGGAGAGAGAGAGAGAGAGAGAGAGAAACATTAATATGAGAGACACATGAGTGGTTGCCACCCACACGACCCCAACCTGGCTGGGGGACTAACCAAACCCGGGACTCTCTGGTCTGCTGGTGGAGGCTCTAACTGCTGAGCCAAATCGGCCAGGGCCAATGTGCTTTTAAATTGTCAACTTGTGAAATAAAATCTGATTATAAAGCATTAAGAAATGTCACATTAAACTAGGTATTTTTGAAGATTTACTGACGAAGCAAATTTACCAAAATGTAGGTACAGATGCAGAAAATTTTATACTGGTGGAGAGGAAAATCTTGGTAGGTAGGGTGAAAATTTCATTAGTAACTCTACAGATCTGTAGTTGATTCTCAGTATAAAGAAATTTGGGGGCATTTTAATATAGTTACTAAAGTTTGCATTTTTTTTTTGCAGGCTATTGAATACTGCCTTCTAAAAATGATGCCTTCCACTTCTCTTAAAAATAAAGTTTAAAAAATACTTAAAAAAAGAGGGAACGAACAGGGATGACGTCTTTCAGTAGACCGCGGTGTGTCTCGCGGGCTCCTGGCTGCGGGCGAGGCCGGCTGGGCCTGCGCGGGGCGGAGCCTACGGTGACGCGCTGGTGGCTGCTAGGCATTGTGGGGAACTCGGCCCGGTGGGGGTAGCCGTTTGTTTTCTCGTGGTCTCGAACTCGCGCGCGCTATTCCCTCCCCCCGGCGAGAGGCGGGGCGGAGAAACGGCGGCGGAGGCAGCAGCAGCGGCTGTAACAGTGGACACCCTCCTGTCCCCTCTCCGGCGAACCGGTTCTTCTTTCCCTTCCCTCTCACTGTTTGTTGTGTGTTTGATGTGTTAAAGCAGGAGCGAGAACGCGAGCAGCGCCATGAGCAACACTACCGTCGTCCCCAGCACTGCGGGCCCGGGCCCCAGCGGCGGGCCGGGTGGCGGCGGCGGAGGCGGCGGCACCGAGGTAATCCAGGTGACTAATGTCTCCCCGAGCGCTAGCTCTGAGCAGATGCGGACCCTCTTCGGTTTCCTAGGCAAGATCGACGAACTGCGCCTCTTCCCGCCGGAGTGAGTATCGTCCACCATCACTGTTTTTTGCTATCTCCTCCCAGCCTGGGCCTAACCACACCATTTCGTAGGCCCTTGTCGCTGCTTCCCAGAACCAGGTTGCTTTAGTTGAGGCTGGCTGTTGGGACTTATTTACGAAGAATCTGTATATTAGGCCTACTAACAATGCAAAGAGGCAGGGCCAGGGTTTTGGCAGTTAGAGACACTGGCTCTTAATCTCAGACTTCTTTTTTCTCCCTTAAATTTTGCCAACGTGGTCTTTCTTTGGGCAATTAAAGCAAGATAACTTCATTTCATGTACTTTGGTTAATCTTTTTTTAAAAATCAGGTGTTTCTTTGAGTTCTTCGGAAAGTAACAAAATTATTCCTGTGTAAATTTATTATTGAACTTTGTAGGCGGTGATTCACTTATTGCTAAGTATTGCTGTTCTGTGATCCTGGCCTAGTGAATAATACAGAGTAAATACTCTTGTCAGATAGTAAATTCAGTGAACCTGAGTACTTAATTTTAATGACAAAAATGGGTTATACCTGAAAGGTAGAGTTTTCCTTTGTTTAAATGTATACATTTATGCCATTTTACAGTTCTAAATTTTTAATTTGAAGTGTTTGACTTTTTGTTTTTAATCCTGTTGTCTCACATTTATTATTTTAGTTGCAAAAGTATTAAATGAGTGGATTGTAAAGAAAAAAATAACTTAAGCTATGAAGTTAGATAAGATGTGAGAAATACTAGAACAGGATAAAACAGTCATATGCTCTTTGGAAGGGTGAAAATGCAATGTTACTGTCAGTATAATCTCCCATCCCGCTTAGTTTTATGATGTCATTTAAGTATTAAACAGGAAATAGGCATCTACTGTTTGGTGGATGTGATAAATCATTACATGTTCAGTTCTAGGAACATGTATTTGTAGCAGTTATCTTGAATGGAAATTCAGTTTGCTTTGGTAGTAAAGGACAAATAGCTTTTATAATATGTTTTGCTATTACTCAGTTTTTCTCATATCATACTCTTTATTGAGTTGTTAGTAAAATGAATAAACAGTAAATGGCAGAAAATAAGTGACACGTTTGATTATTGTAATCATGTTGCTATTCAAAATATTTGAGATACTGGATTTATTTACAAAATAATTATTTTCAGTCTCATAAGTTATTAACAATTTTGTTATACTTGCTGATTATACTTGCTGACCTTAAAGTGTTTTGTTTATTTTGAAGATGCTCTTTTTATGATTCATTTATTAAAAAGATAAAGGGAAGTGTAGGCAGTTTTCTGGTTCATCTTTTACCCATTGCGTGGTCAATATTGTCATGTGTGTTCCCACATACAGACTATTTTCTCTTCTGAAAATGCACTAAGTTACAATACAGTAAAGGCTACATTTACCTTAGTGGCTTTCCCAAATTGAACAATACTTATGTAGATGTCTACTTTCGTTGATAATTTTAAATCCCAATAGCTAATCTGACCTGCACAAATTGGAAATACATTATTGACAATTTCTTTAAGCTTGCTACAGTTTTCAATAGTAACTTGCTGGTGATGTGCTGTGGGGTCTTAGTAGTCTGAAAGGGTTTATTATTTCAAAACTTTGCTCTTACTCAGAATAAAATTGGCTCAGATTACATAACATTATGACTATTATAAATACATTTGCCACGTGACTTTTTTCGGGTGTATATTTTCCCCCAAATGGCATTCATATCCACCTGGAATTCTTTTCTCTTAGATGTGGTCAGGATATGCTTATTTCCTTTTGTTGCTCAAATGCCACCTAATCTGTTTCCTGATCACCTGTATAAAAATACTGCACCCCTGCTTTCTCTTTATTCAACTTAACTGCATTGTTTTGTGGCACCAGTCGTGAACAGGTTAGTTTAACTCTCCCTCTTCTAGAATATGAGGCTATTGGGGTCATCAGTATCACGGGGGAGATGGGTTTAGCATTCACAGAATAATTTTTTTTCTTTAATTAATTTGAGAGAGAGAGGAAGGGAGAGGGGGGGAGAGAGAGAAACATGGATGAAAAGCACATCAATTGGCTGCCTCCTGCATGCCCCCCACTGAAGATTTGGTCCACAACCTGGGTATGTGCCCTGACCAGGAATCAAACCGGTGACCTCTTGGTGCATGGGTCAATGGTCAACCACTGATCCACACCGGCTGGGCAAGGGTTTGGCTTTATTTATTTATCTTATATTTTATTTATTTATTTATTTATTTTATCCTCACTCGAGGACGCTTTTGCATTTATCTTCCATTAGAGTGGGAGGAAGAGAGATACATTGATATGAGAGAGGCACATCGAGTGGTTGCCACCCACACAACCCCAGCTGGGGCTGGGATAAACCGCAACCCAAGTACATGCCCTTAGCGGGAACCGAACCCAGGACTCTTTCATCCAAGGGCCAACGCTCTAACCACTGAGCAAAACTGTCCAGGGCAGGTTTAGTATTTTTTAAAGTACACATATGACTGATCCCCAGCCTATTTGTGAGGAGGGGAGGGAGGAAACCGAGGATCTGGATCATGCCAAACATTTTTGTGCCAGCCTTAAGAAGGTTTTTCCCTTTTGTTTCATTATTGAATCCATCTATTTCTTGGTTTTTGTAAGCCAGACATTGCTGGCTTATAATTTCAACCTGTGATAAAATTGTCATTACAACAAATACTCTAACCCTTTCTTCAGTAAGACAGCCCTACAGCCATTGAAAGTATCTGTCAGTGTTGCTTCCATTTATTCTTTTTAAAAGAAAACAGTTAAATTCTAGTTCCCAAAATGACTTTTGGAAATTCAACATTGTTATATGCTAGATGCTTTCCAATGTTATCTTACTCAGCCCTTAAAAATCTGGAGGGAGCCCTGGCCGGTTTTGCTCAGTGGTTAGAGCGTCGGCCTGCGGTACAGAGAGACCCGGGTTCGGTTCCCGCTAAGGGCACGTACCTCGGTTGCAGTTTGTCCCCGGCCCTGGTTGGTCGTGCGGGTGGCAGCCACTCATGTCAATGTCTCCCCCCCCCCCCCCATCTGAACAAAAAATGGAAAAATGTCCATTGACATATTTGAGGATTAAAAAAAAAAAATTTGGAGGGAGAGTCTACTTAGCTCTATTGCACAAATGAGTGAACTAAAATTTATGTAGGTGGTTTTGTATACCCAAGCCCCCCTCTACCAGTGTCAGACCTAGTATTGGAACTTCAGTGTTGTGATTGTCCTTTATCATTTAATCATGATTTTCTTGAGTGGAACTTGTGAGTGGAATCAGTCTTTTACACTTAGTAGGTATTCTTCATATGTTCGGCTTTACTGGGATTCCATAATGGAAAATATAACTAGAGTGTTGATAGGGTAATGATCCCAGTAAAGCATGTATATGTCAGAGGTATGCAGTAACTGAAGGCTACTGTACCAGCAGGTAAGCTTAAGTTCATTATTTAAGTAATTAATAAAGTAATTATTTCAGTGACCAAAAATAGATACTTTAATCATCATGTAAGTAACTTAGTATAGTTAGGTGAGAGAACTTAATTTACCTTTAAAAATTTTTTTTAAATAAATGCAGCATTTTACTGCATTTCTTTAGAACTGAGTAAGACACGATGAGGGGGAGAGGGCATGTGAGGTCAAGAGGGTCAAGTTTTCAGGTGAATACTATTTGTCATACCTGCTATTGGGGTGGGGGTGGGGCTCCGGAGATGCCTTTGTTATTAAGCTCAAAGTTCTCAGTATTAAGCACAGTATTAGGGTGGTAGTAGAAAAAGTGTTATCAGTGGCCTAAATGAGAAATTCTCATACTTTAGTGGGCACAGATATCAACTGGACATGTTAAAAATAAGAGCCCTCTTATAAAAGTGATTCTCAGATTTAGTGGACTTGAGATGGAAAACAAATCAGGATTTTCTATATGCATCCCAGAAGATTGTCAAACAACCCTTAGAGGACACTTGAAACATTGGACACAAAACCCCCACTCTTCGGTAAAGGACAAAAGCATTGTACGGAGCCCACATTTTCTGTCTTGTTCCTTAGTTCTTTTCACTATCCTGCCTCATTTATATATATTTTTTTTTCTTTTTTTCTATATTGATTTAAGAGAAAGGGAGAGAGAGATGGAAACATCAATGAGAGAGAACATTCGATTGCCCGTCTCCTACATGCCCCTCACTGGGGATCAGGCCCACAACCTGGGCATGTGCCCTCACTAAGGATCGAACTGGTGACCTCTTGGTGCATGGATCCATGCTCAACCACTGAGCTACACCTGGTTGAACCACACCAGCCGGGCTCGTTCGTAAAGATAAGGAGTAAAGACAGCTACATTGGTAAAAGTGGTATTTGCACGGAATACTAGGGTATGAATATTAAATTCAAGCATCCATCTTCTATCTTAACATATGTCTCTTACTAATACATTTTAACTGAGAAACTGTAAGAATATAATTGTGGGGCCAAATAGCAATGGTTTTAAAGAAGACCATTTAAAGTGGGGCGAGATGGATCATTTACCCTTCTGAATTGTCTTACTGTGACAGTCTTTTTCATGGTATTTAAATTATTCATATTTTACCTCACCACCATTTGCAGGTTGGTATAGCCCAAGTAATAATGGTAGTATTTCTATGAAGAGTGGGTAGAAAAAAATATATTATTTTAGGATTGCAAAGTAAGTGGAAATAACGTTGTAAGCATGTAGGCAGTACTTTCTAATTTATTTTTTGTCTTTATTGATGGAAGAGAGAGAGAGATAGAAACATTGGTGAGAGAACATCGATTGGCCGCCTCCTATATGCCCCCTATTGGGGCCACGTGCCCTGACCGGGAATCGAACCAGCAACCTAATAGTGCATGGGTCGATGCTCAACCACTGAGCCACACCTGCCCGGCTCTAATGTATTTTTAAAGAACTGTTCATTATGTTTATATTATCTAAGACCCTAATACTTTATAGTCATTTTTTTCTTTTAGTCAAATGACCATAGACAGTGTCAAAGAAATAGTAGAGGTCACTTAAGAAATTTAAGTGCCCACTACTTCCCAAGGCATTCTGTTAGCTTTTAAGAGTAGAAAATGATAGCATTTAAAGAGCTTTAAATGGTAAAAATGTGGAAGTCAGAAAAAAAGACAAAGTGCTATATATAGCATTAATACTAAAACTGCTGGGCTTGCATTCTTTCCACTATTCTGGATATAACGTTAAATTTTCTACCAGTAGTCCTTCACATTAAAAAACACTTTGACTACATTAAAAAAACACTATCCTTTCAGAAACATTCAGCAGTAAGCTTCTATGATAAGGTGGTTTAAATTTCATGTCGATATATTGTCATCTTTGCTTTGAACCTAGATTAGGATCTGTGCTTCGTGTCCAAGGGGAAGGCTTTTAAGTTCTGACGGGTTTGAATTCTCAGGTTATGTGGCTTTATGTTAGTCCTCATAAGTAATAAGTTGGTTTGTTTTTATTCATGTTAGAGCATAAATTAGTTGGGGGGGGTGGTCAGCAAATACTTATTTCTGAAGTACCTAACATAACCAAATTCTCATGTAAATGCATTTTTATGTATACTTGGAAATCTAGTTTATTAGAAAGGTTAACAATAAACCTCATTCTGATAACATTCAAAGATATTACAGGATTTTCCTTTTTATTATTGAGTCTTAAGAGGTAATTGGCTTATAATAAAGCAGAGGTTCTTTACCCTGGGTGCATATAAAAATTGTCAGAAAGAATTAAAATCGAGGAGGAAAAGGGAGCATATAATACTTCATTCATCAGAGATCTTGATTTAATTGCTGTGGAATAGAATGCCAGGATATTTTTTTCTCCCCAGAAGATTCTAATGTATGACTAGGGATGATGTGATTACTACTGCCATAGGGCACAGGTTTTAAAATAACTTTTGGGTTGGAATTAGAGACAAACTCCTGCCTTTATTTAATCTTTCCCTTAATTTATCTTATTTTACAGGCTACCATAGCTTGTACTTTAGCACTTGTTTTTGTTTTATCTAAGGAAGCAATTTGCTGAGGAAAGTAATTCCTTTGCTTATTGTAATTTTGCATAATAGTAATACTTGGGGGTGGAGTACTGTCCCCATGTGTGTTTAATTTTTGTTTTGTTTTGTTTTTTGTTTTTCTCTGATGTTATAGGTAATAGAGGACAGGGCATTTATTTAGTAGGCAGGTCAAGAAAACTTGATTGTAAAATAGATGTACTTTCCCACAATAATATTCTCTTGTTCCTGAATTGGCAAATTCTGGATTTTTTTACTCTGAAAGTTTTCTAAGCCTATTTGTTACCTGTTTTTAAAAATAACTGGTATTGCTATTTTTAAAATGTTGACACTTTTGTGGTCTGATTAAACTCTGAAACTTTAGTTGCAACCTATCTTTAACTTGGAAAACTGTAAAATTAAGCGATGATTGTATACATGAAACATGAGTTTAGTGGGTAGTAATTTATTTGTAATGTCATTTTTTTAACTGTCAACTAAAATATGTGCAATTCTTATTATCTGCCTGTTTTGCTTTTAAAATGGGTTTATGAGTTTTACATTTATGTTTTAGCTGATATTATTTCTCTCTACTTTTATGTTATTTGTTTATTTTTCAGTGATTCACCTTTGCCAGTTTCATCCCGTGTCTGCTTTGTTAAGTTCCACGATCCAGACTCAGCAGTTGTGGCACAGCATCTGACAAACACTGTGTTCGTTGACAGAGCATTGATAGTCGTACCATATGCAGAAGGTTTGTGCTTTGTTTACCTATCTATGTGGGCATCCTATGATGACCATCTACCTCAGTATAGTTTTAGAGTGAGCATTAGTAGCATGTTAAAAACCTAAGCTATTAACATTTTGAAACCCTTGTTATACTGTGGTACATATTTTTACTTGCAGATTTTTTTTTCAGTTATAAAAATTAGGTATCAGTTGTTTTTATAAGATAATTAAACATGCCATTCTTTTAAAACATTTTTAAGTTCTTTAAAACCATGTCCCCAATTGTAATCCCTTAAGATACATCTACTTAATGGAACCTTGAGTTTTATGACAAAGTCCTAAAGTGAATGGTTATCTCCATACACATTTACACAGGAATCTTCAAATAAATGCATGATGTTATTTCTGTTTTGAATAAATGACTAGGCTTTATTTTCTTAGTGCTTCCTCTCACTGATGACTTCTAAAAAATGTCCCGCATTGAATTCCAGTATACCAAGGGTTGCAATGATTTTGGTTTGTATGAAAGTTCAAGATTTCCTATAGCCTAGGTGCCAGATGGGCACTGGGTGTTTTGTTTTTATTGCCAGATTTTCTTGTTCATTCTTGCTATATTTTCTAGAATATCTCTAAATAATAAATTCTTCTCTCTGTTATTTGTGTGTGTGATTTTTGTAGTGGAGAAGGCAAATGCAAAACTCTTCCAGATGACTGAAAAACAGTGGGTCCTCTGCAGCTACAGGGGATTCTAGACATTAACTAAAGGCCAGCAAGCACTCAAGTCCCCCAAGTGTTTTCCTGGTGTAACCATTTGTTAACTACATTTTCTCTCTTTTTACATTTTAGGCTGTTAAAGTAATTTGACAGAAATAATGAGCAGAGTTTGGGGATCTTAAACCAAAAAAAAAAAAAAAAAGCCACTGTGACAAGACAGCACTATTTTAATTTCCACTTTGTAAAATTTTCTAAGCCATATTTTATAATTAGTTTGTTCCCAATGTACTGCTACTTTATTTGCTTATTGTCAACTATAAACTTGATCAAAGAAATAACTGAAATATGATAAAATTACTGGATTTTAGGTTGAAATGACTGGATTTTAAGTTAATAATTACGGGATTTTAAGTTAATTTACAGCATTACATTAATTCTGACCAGGATTTAAATGCTTTCCCCTTTTCTTAATGTACTGGTCAGTGGAAGCAGAATCTTGATATTGTTGACTTTAGATGATATCTTAGATCTCTTTGAGTACCAATGTGAACATTTTTACCATACCTTGTAAAAGTTATGAAATGTATAGTCCTTAAAACTTAGAACAATTGCCTCTGTAGTTTTTCTAAAGAAATTAAGTTGCATTCATAGATGGGTTAAAGGCATGCTATATAATAGTACATCTGTCTCTATTGATTAAAGTGTGTGAACCCAATTTTAAGGTTTTAAAATATATATGCTGATAAACCTTTGATTTAGTGTGTTTTGATTAAGCAATTCATTTTATATCAGTGTGCCTGTTGTAGGTTAAGACTTTTCACCAAAAGAAAATTTATAGAATTCAAATTTAGGAATAAGTAAAGTATAGATGATAGTTTTTGAAACAAGGGTCGAATCATGTGAATAATGTACAAGACATTAGCTTTTAAATTAAAGGGATTCTTAATTGACTAAGTATTATGTCCTAGTTCCCAAGCCCTGAACATAATACAGTATATCATATAATTGGCTTTCATAAATATTTTTTACCACGGTAATTTTTTGTGGATCTGTTTCAAAAGTCAAATATTTAAGAGTATGTAGAATTACCAAAATATTTAGTTCTGGAATCTATTTTTGATGTATTTAATTAATGGTATGGTATGCTGTATTAATGTTATCTCCACTAAATAACTGATGTACTCAATCCCTTTGTCACCATTCACCCTAGTTTTAACTCTTACACTTTGGTGTTGGTTCTCAGAATGGTCATGTTTAGAACAATAGACACAAAGTCTACGGTAAGGAATAGTCTTAATTGGTAAAACTGAGATAGCTGGATTTGGAAGGAACTCTTAATAGTAATGGATTTGGGGGTTATTTAGGTTCCTTGGTTAATGTTTGTTTCTTTTGTCTGTTTCTTTTTCTTTCATTTCTACACATTCATGCAGTATTTCATGGTTCTATCAAAGCAGCAGTAAAAAAAATACTCTTGACGCATGAAAATTAACTGGTGAGGGGCCTCATTGCTATTTTTAAATTGTAGTTTTATTTTTAAATAGTCTTTTTTAAATCAGAGGATCAGATGCATGACTTTTTTTTTAATGAATGCAGATCTTCTATCAGGTGTCTCACAATTAATTCAAGAGGATTTTAGTTTGCCAGAAATGTTGCAAATGCACTAATTTGAGTAAGATATTATTATTTAATATTATCCTCTTGAGACATAATTTTGCATGCAAGATTACCCATAATCTTTGTAGGTTTGTTAATATTGATGCATTAATGCCCTATATCTAAATGATCTTCTCCCTTCCCCTCCCTCCATAACTCTGGGTATCTAAATTGATGACAGCTCTGACACAAGCAAGATAACAGTGCTGTGTAGTATACATTTGTTTATATTATCGGCACTTCTCAGTATAGGTGGAAGGAACCATTACCTTTATTTAACAGTGGTTTTTCTTTTTTGTTGTTGTGTTTTACAGTTCTTTTCCCTGGTTCAGCCTGAACTATATACCAGGCCCTGCTGAAAATACCACCCAACAGTTTTCTTCTGCAGCTTATCCAGTTTCTCTTAAGTGCCCTGTACATATTGTATGTTTTATGATGAGATGCAGTTTCTTAATATGTATTACAGAAATACTACTGGTATTTGCAAATATATAGTTTAATTGTATTATTGAACTCTCATTTTGGGGGCTTGGGCACATTAACAGATTAATCCATCTGTATAGGGCTTTTGCTGTTGGATAGAATTTAAATTGTGTACATAAATATTTGTCTTAGGGCCCTTAGATGTTATCTGAATACACAGATTAGGCTTTAAAAACAGACGTACATGTTGTTTTTGGCTTTAGGAGTTTGGCTAAGTTAGCTTTTGAACTCACACTGTATAGCAGCATTTTTTGGTATGGTTAGCATGGCACATGTTGGAATATAAAGCATTTTACTGTACAGGTAAGGAATGTGCCATGTTGTTTTACCTATTCTCTCTCTCTCTTACTCCCACATACACATCCAGTGTGTATTCAGAGACCTTCAGAAACATTCGTTTTCATGAGTCAGCAAAAGCCCTACGCTTGATTCCAACAGAATAGTTCCTTTACATACTTTTCTTCTCTTAATTTTTACAAAATTGTATGGTAGGTGTAAAAGAAAATCATAGTAACTGTACCATATTATTAACCCCTAAATCAAACTTTTTTTGTCTTGTGTATCTTGATTTTTCTGTGTGCTTTATAGTGAAGCAGCCGACACGAGTCGTTGTTCATAAAACAGCTTTTGAAAGTTGAGAGCACACCCCTGGAGAACCGACTGTGCTTGCTTACGTTTGGTTCATGACTTAAAAATCGAGTACAGGTGATGAAATCTTGGCAGTGTTAACAAAAAAGTAGTGTGTATTGTGCTATTTTTTTTTTACTCTAGAAACTTAACCATTTGTAGAGAAAAAAGGAAACATTTTCACACATTGAAGTTTCATTCTGACATAAAATTAATGATAAATAATCATAGAAATCAAGCTTTATATTTTAGCGAACATAAGTACTTTCAACAAACTCAGGTGGTGTATCAGGGAGACATTTTCTGGGTGTTTTTGTGTGTTTTCTGTCTTGCAAAGGGGTGTGTTCTAATGCAAGGATATTTCTCTGCAGGAGTTATTCCTGATGAGACTAAGGCTTTGTCTCTGTTGGCACCAGCTAATGCAGTGGCAGGTCTTCTGCCTGGTGGTGGACTCTTGCCTACTCCTAACCCTCTTACCCAGGTATTAGTTCTATTGAAATCTTAAAGGATAGAATGGAACACAGAATTGGATAAAGCTAAACATATTTGAACTTAAGTGTTGTGATTCTAGTTTACAGAATGATAATCAAGTATATATAGTAAAGGCTATTGCAATCAAATTCTAAAGATAATCTCTTGGAAATTTGCATTTTAAGAGCATCCTGAAAATCACAAATATCTTATATTGTTTTTTGTTATTGTACATGCCCCTAGCGGGAACCGAACCCGGGACTCTCTGGTCTGCAGGCTGACACTCCAACCGCTGAGCCAAACTGGCCAGGGCTCTTATATTGGTTTTGCCATTGACTCTCAAAATAACCCAGTAATATGAAAAAATCTCATGGAGCTTAAGATTTGAACATGTACTAAAAATAGTATGTTCATTTCAACCAGGAAAGAAAATAAAGATAAATTTCAGACTTTTTGTCTTTGCCAATGTCCTTTAATCTTTTGCTTTTACCTTGGGGTTTTAATTAAGTAGGTGGCTTGAAATAAAAATGAATTCATGGATAAATGTTTGATATGGGGAAGAAAACATTCAAGTTGAATTATATTTTACTGGGTAATGTTTCTAACCCTAATGCTGTAAAAAGCAAATCATTTTAGAGCCAAAGGTTCTTTAAATGTCATATATTGTAACTCAGAAAAATTGTAACTAACAAGTGGTTTTGCAGACAAAGGAAATGATGGAACCTGAACTAGAATTTTATAAGCGCATTCCTTTGTATAAAATTATTTTGCCTAAATAGTTTACTTAACTGTTAGTTGAACTGTATGGCATTATAAAAGGACACAGATCAAGAATTCTCAGCTTTTTGAGTATGACTTTTTCACTTATAAAATGCAGATCTGAGAAATTTGTAGATACTTTTAATGTATAAAATTGTGTTATAACTGAAATAGCTTGTATAATAGTATTAATACAGTATTTTAACTACTCAGTAAATAGTTACATTATAGAAAGTTTGGAACCTTATATTTACTAAAAATTGAAGCTAGGAGAACTTTTAGCACGGTGATTTATAAAGGTCAAACTGCCTTCAAAATTACAATATTTTGTATGGTTTGTGTCTTAAATTATTGCTTAATCAGAATTATTTCAGACAGGAGACAGAACCACACAGTAATTTGAACAGGGAAAGTTTAGTAGAAGGAATTAGTAACTAGTAACTGGAGCTTACTAGGGCACTCCAAGGAATATAGGACTCCCAGATATCAGAAGCAACCATTACTTCTAGGGCTGAGGAAGAAAGAACACAAAAAAAAATTCAGATGAGAGGTCTTCCCACCCCCCACCACCCCCAACCCCTTGACTGGGATAAGAGTCAGACTCTTTGAAAGGGGTAAACACTAAAGAGTTTTTTCAGGTGCCACAGACCTTGTTAGGAAGCTGCCCAATAAGATAGCTCTGAGGTTAAGGCCACTGGGTATCTCACATGGCGCTGCAGTAACAATCAAAAAGGGGCATAGGAACCAGGAAGAGAACCCTCTTTTACAGTATCATTCCAGCTCCTCTATAGATAATGTTTAACATGTCATCTGTCAAAAGAGAAATGCTGCCTTCAGTATCACAAAACGGCAAAGAACTGGATTTGAAGCTGAGAAAACAGTAAATGTTTATAATTGGCACAAGAATATATTGAATTTTTTTTCTATATTCTAATTGTAGGGATAAATGTGCTATAATGACATGTGGAAAATGAGGACAGAGGTAGGCAAACTACAGCTTTTGGGCCAGACCCCCATTTTGGTTTATTAGAGCACAACTGTGCCCATTTGTTATGTATTGTGTATGCCTGTTTTTGACCTACAATGGTATAGTTGAGTAGTTGCAACAGAGATCACATAGCCTACAGACTTAAACTAGTTATTTGTCCTTTAGAGGAAAAACAGGTTGACCAAACACACAGTATAAGGAACAGAAGTGAAGTTTTAAATAAATAAAATTTGTAATTTCACAGATTGGCGCTGTTCCATTGGCTGCTTTGGGAGCTCCTACTCTTGATCCTGCCCTTGCTGCACTTGGGCTTCCTGGAGCAAACTTGAACTCTCAGGTATAATTTACTGCCCTTCAACTTGGAGCTCATTCTTATAATTAAAGAATTATTTTATTTTATTTTATTAACTGTTCCTATGCATTTCAAGAGCAAAAGATAACTGATAGCTATGGTGTGTTAATTTTTCTTACATGCTGTTATTAAAAGGAGATTTAAAAGGTCACTGCATTATAAGCCCCTTACCCATTAAAGAATTTCTTTATACTTATTTATTTTTTAATCCTCACCCGAGGGTGTGATTTTTATTGATTTTTAGGGAGAGAGAGCAACATCTGTGTGAGAGAGAAACATTGCTCTATTGCCTCCCGTCCACGCCTCAACCAGGAATCGAACCCGCTACCTCTTTTGGTGTATGGAATGATGCGTCAAACAACTGAGCCACCCAGCCAGGGCAAGATTTTCTCATTTTATATAGCTAAAAGTAAAGAGTAGTTTCACAGGAAATACACATCATCGACATGTTATGGAGTCTCTGTTTTCCTGTCCTTTAATCATTTGGAAATTTTGTTTTCTTTTATTGTTACTTGCTAAACTGTTTTTGGAAGTACTTTGTGGAAATTTTTTGGTTTATTACATTGGCTAAGCACTTTGAGTTTTGTTTTACATGTTTCTTTAAATCATTACTTTCCCTTAGAAAATCTTCAGATAAGCAGGAGGTAATTGATCAGGTTTATAATTTTCATATTTAACTTGGTAAAGCACCTCTGAATATTCACTGTGTTACTAATGTCACCTGTTTTTGTTTTTTTCTTTTTAACGTGACTACTAGAAAACTTAATATGACATTTCATTGGCATTGTCTGTTGGTCATCCACATGCCTGGAATGTTATTTTTTGTAAGTTTGTCAGGGTATCCTAAGACATTGCAACATCCTGAAAAAATAAAATCGAAATCATTATTGCTTTATGTATTCTCACTGTTGTGATATTTTTGTTTTTTGCAGTCTCTTGCTGCAGATCAGTTGCTGAAGCTTATGAGTACTGTTGATCCCAAGTAAGAATTTTTTCTGTGTTTCTATCGATGATTTGGATATAGTATATGAATGTCTAGAGAACAGTTATTTTTTGATAGCTAAAAAGGTTATCTCAAGGCACACAATATATAATTCAGTTATCTAGAAATGAGAAAAATCCAGTGGTAAGTCTATCTATAGAGGGTTTTATTTTGGTGTAATTTGAGTACCTACTATAAACTTGTTCCTTTAGCATTTATACTCTAGATTGAAAGTGAGATATTATTTAAATATAGTAAGGCATGTGGATTCAACTAGAGAAAGTACAGAGGTACTATGGAAACTTACTACAAGAAGAATATAGTTTGAAGATGAGAGAAACTAGCCCTAGGGGATAAACCGGAGTTGAGAGACATAAGTGAGGGAAACACAGTCCTAGAGCCAGGACTGGCATATGTCACATAATAATGGCCAGTATCTTTTAGGTACTTTGAAAAGTTTTCTTTGTGCTATAAGTTTTGTGTCTCCTACTTGGTCAGTTACAACAAAGTCAGTTATTTTAATTGGTAATTTGTTGATATTTTAGATTTGAACTAAATGCTTTTTCTCCTTGGTGAAAGACGCTGTCAAGTGGGAGAGTATGGGAGGAGGGAGGACAGAATCATTTCATTATAGTTATTAGTGGACTTTTTCTCTTTAAAATTATCAGATAAAATCCAAGAGTGCCTATCACCCAGCTTATAAAATAAAATATCGATACAGTTGAAATTCCCTGCATACCCATTTTTATTTACATTTCCACTCTCCCCACGAGTAACTATTGCGTTAAATTTGGTGTCTAATTTTTTCCTCACATGTATAAACCCTTAGAGGTGCAGCTTTTCTGATCAGGAATTTTTTGAGTAACTTTAGTGTGCCATTGGCCTCTGCCTCAGGCTCTTCCCCAACAAAATTACGATGTAAAACATTTTTAAATCATATAAAGGAAAGTTCATTAGTCAAAAACTTTTAGCATCAGCATATTCCCATGTACTAGCATGTCTCAAAAATGTGTTTATGGAAAGTTAATGAATGTTCAGCAGAATTAAATAAGCATTTTTCTTATTTCAGATAGTCTGAATCTTTAAAATGCAAGTACCATTTAAATATTCAAAAGGGTACTATACTATGTATGGTTTTACCAAAATAATGGAATCCTTCCCCTTTTTTCTAAAGAACATCTTACTAAAATGTTTTATGAAACATATTTGTTTGAAGTGCTGTTGTGCATTTAAAAATATTTCCGGTCTCAATTCTTGGTTTTGTTTCAGGTTGAATCATGTAGCTGCTGGTCTAGTTTCACCAAGTCTGAAATCAGATACCTCTAGTAAAGAAATAGAGGAGGCCATGAAGAGAGTACGAGAAGCACAGTCCCTAATTTCTGCTGCCATAGAACCAGGTAAAATATGTTTATGCACTTGTGTTGAATCTTAAACTGTATGATTGTTGGCAAAAATGATTATTGTATAAGTTTGGAAACTTTTTTACTTAATATTCTAGCCGTTTTTAAACTTTCCAAATTCTGATAAAAGATTATGTAGCGGAATGATTTTCAGTAGGGGTCTGGGGGCGTGAATTGGGAGTTGACACCCAGACATACTTGCAAATATCTGGAGACACTTACTTGTCATGCTGGTACCAAATGTATCTCCTGGGCAGAGGGCCAGGGATATTGCTAAACTTCAGCATACAGGACAGACACTAACTCCCCCCCACTTCCCCAATAAAATGTGACCCATTCCAAAATGTTGATAGTGCCTAGAATTAATAGTTGGTGTGATATTTTTGTTGTTTTTAATTTATGGTTTGGGGGTTGTTTTGAAGCATTTATGATGGTCTATGTGGGAATAGCCTAATTGATTTTAGTCTTTTGTTTGACCAAGAGATGATGCTTCTGTTTATGCCATTTGTTTAAAGACAGGCAAATACCTTATTCTTTGCCGATTATCTTTTTGAAATGGAGTGGATGGTTATCCTATTGTCTGCCTGTATATATTTTGATCTTTTGTCCTAGAATTTCCCCCCCATTCAATAATGTTTTGCTCATATTTTACTGTTATTTCTTAGTAAATAGGGAGATTTTTAGTAGGTATAGTATTTGGAAAATAATTTTAAAGTAACAGTATTAATTAGCCTAAGGTCATATGTCAAACAGTAGGAGCTTTACTTTGTTGTTATTGCCATTCAGTGATGTCACTGATGTACTTTATTTTATTTTATTTTATTTTTTAATGTTTTTTATTGAATTTTTTTTTGAGAGAGAGAGAAATATCAATCACCTGCCTCCTGCATGCCCCCCTCTGGGAATCAAGCCTGCAACCCAGGCACGTGCCATGGCTGTGAATTGAACCAGGACCTCAGTCCATGGGATGGCGCTCAATCCACTGTGCCAGGCTGACGCACTTTATTTTTTAACTAGTTTTTTCCTCCCATTGACACCCTCCTCCTTCCTGCTTCCCTACTCCTACTCTCACCTTCACTGCACTTATCTGTGTCTATTGGTTATGTTCTTTGGTTTATCTCTTCCCCTCATCCCCATTTCCTCTGGGGTTTGTCAGTCCGTTCCCTACAGTAGGAGCTTTTCGATACACAACTAGATAGATCTCTTACTCCAAAGCTAGAACACTATGCTTAACTTTGTTCATTGAAAACGTATAACTAGAATGACTAAAAGTTATTTACATATGAATTTTTTCTCCGAGATTTTTTTGGTTAATTGTTAATAATGACATTAACAATAAATTGAATTCTGTTAATGAAATGATCTCAGTGTGAAGGGTAAACATATTTTCACTGAGATGGTTGTCCATTAATGCAGTGGCTTAATTTCTCTTATGTTATTTTAAAACTAGGAAATGTGACAGATCATTCTAGATCTATCTCCTACACTTATGCAGTTGGAAATAGGAAGAAGAGAGACAGATTGTTAAAATCTAGTTTTGTCACAGAAGTATAGTGAGAACAGTGAATCTATGACTTTCTGAATTTCAAGTCCAAATGTAGACCCTGTTTATCAACCACTTTAACATAAACATATGTGAATTATTTTATTTGGCAAAGGAGCATAGAGCTAGGTGGTGAAGAAAGAAGAAACAGGAATTTAAAATGTTTATTATTAAATGAACATACTTATTTTACAGTTAAATGGTCATTGGGGAAGTGTTATTAACTCATAAACATGAAAGATTAAAGTATTAATCTCAAATGAAATGTAGTTCTGTTTGGGAAAGTAGAACCTAGGAGTGGAAAAAGAGATTCTTGTTTATTAATCTCTAAAGATAAAGGGTGATAAATAATCCTTTTCATAGATTATTCTATGGACATCTCTTGACAGCCTCCCCAGTCTAGAAAGTGGAATTGTCAATTTGGCTAGCTGAAAATCAGAAGTCTAGTTTGGATCTACCAAAACCCTGTATAATTTGTATCACTTCATTAAACTTCAACATTTTTACTGTAAAATGGTCTCTTGTAACATTTAAAGATTATATTTAAAAGCTGAAAGTTAAGATAAAGAAATTCTTAGATTAATTCCTGAATGGGATTAATCTATTTGTTTAATGATTTTTAAATCCTGATTTCTTTTAAATCTAGATAAAAAAGAAGAAAAACGAAGGCATTCAAGATCGAGATCACGATCAAGGAGGAGGAGGACTCCCTCATCTTCCAGACATAGGTTAGATTGATTGCGTTTGGTATTTGGTTGTACCTTAGACAAAGATAATTCCTGTATGTCACATTCTTAATTTGCTGCCATTCACCTACAGTTCCTGGATAAAGTGTGTTTTAGTAACCAGTGCTGTTAGCAGAGTGTGTGAATAAGTATTCACACATATATAAACGGAGAAAAGATATGATATAGGCTAAAGTAGTTGATTAATACTTTAAAACCCCAAAAATATCCAAGGGGAACGGGAAGGCACTGGGACTTGACCACTAAAATGAAACTTTTGACTTGAATTCTAGTTCTGGCTTTTCACTAGACTCTCCTAAGACTTGGGTTGAAAGGTCATCTTGCAACCTATACAATACCCCTCAAATGCATGAATATTTATTTGCAAATGACATGACTTTTTGTTCTTTTGAGATTGTGTTTTGAATTACTGGATAAACTAATTGTGCAATTTTTTTATCCTGCCTAGAGAAAGACTAAATAAGTTTATTCCCTTTTCCACATGACATCCTGTATGAATTTGTACGGTTCCTCTAGACCGGTGGATTTCAAACTTGCTGGTATTAGGACCTCTTTATACTTAATAGAAAATATGAGAACCCCAAATAGTGTTTGTTTCTGTTGGTTATAGCTGTTAATGTAGGCCATATTAAAATATAAAAATAATGACAGTAAACCCACTCATGGTAACACAACTTCGAAACAACTTTTAAAAAAAGAAAAAATTTAGAAGAGTGGCTTTGTTTCACTTCTTCGCACATCTCTTTAATGTTTATAATATAGACATCGGATTCCACATTCAACTTACTGCAATAAATTTTGGTTATTATATAGAGAAAATCTGTTTTCATACAAACAGTTAAAAATGGGAAAAGTTATTTTGTAGTCTTCAACTAACTGCAACTGGTATTCTTTGATATGACACTAAAACTTGATATGATAGTTTCTTAAAAGATAGTTGCAATAGGGAATCCGAACCCTAAATAACCTCTCATATACTATTACATTAAAATCTATTGATCTTCTTTATTCTTTGAATGGATCTTTTCCCCAAGCATGCTTTTGTAAAATTATGCATTGATGGTTTACAAAATAATTGATTCATTGCTTTATGCAAGTTTTCAATGTTGACACATTTTGTTAAATAACAATAAAAATGATATTTGCTGCTGCCACCACAAATCCCACCTAAAAATGCTATAAGTTCACAATGGTGGGTTCAAGTTTTCAACATTTTCTCTTGAAAGCTCAAATTTTTATCATTGGCAACAAATTGAATTGTTTTCCTTGAAGTGGCTGCCAAATACCCAAGTCTGAACAACCATAGTTGAAAGTTGTTCTTTCAAGTCAGGGTAATGTTTCATGGAAAAGATAGTATAAGCCCAAAGCGATCAATCCCAGAAGTGCTTCCCTTGATAAAGCCATTGAAGTTTAATAAGTAACAGAAGTGATTTATCCTTACTTCTCATTTTTTTAAATAGGATATTGCTCAAGGGACTAGATTTAATAAAATTAATACGTGTTACTGCTTCATCGAAGGCATCCCTTGTGAAAATGACATTTTTGTTTGTTTTTTTCTTTTACCACACATGCTTACTACAAATCCCTGTGAAGAATACAGTGACTGCTAGGGCAATTCAGTTGCCACTACCTTGATTTGTGCTAAGGAGATGCCAGCACTTTTACACCATCATTGCTTTTGAACTATTAGTGCAAATGTCAACATAGTGAAAAAGGCAAATAACACATTATTATTTTGAAAGTAATTTTAACCTCATGGGCCCATGACATTATCAAGTCATTTCTTGGTCAGTGTCTTCATCTACTCAGCTGCTATAATAGGATCCTATAGACAGAATGACTTATAAGCAACAGATTTGTCACAGTTTGGAAGTTGAGAAGTCCAAGATCAGGGTGCTGGCAAATCTGGTGTCTGATGAGGATCTATTTATTTATAATGGGCCATCTTTTTGCTATGTCTTCACAGGTTGGTAATGGACAAGGGGTCTCTAAGATCTGTTTCAGAAGGACATTACTCCTGATCATGAAAGCTTCACCCTCTTGACCTAATCACCTCCCAAAGACCTTAAAATATCACATTGGAGATTAGGTTTTGCATAAGAATTCTGGGAGGGGCACAAACATTCAGTCCAAAGTAAATATTAATGCGGTTTTCCCATCTGGTATATCTGTTCTATTTTCTTTTACCTACCTTCCCTAGCCTGTCTTATTCTTCCTAAAGATGTCTTTCAAAAACCCAAATTGGGGTCGGCCTGTGTGGCTCATTTGGCAGAGCACTGTCCCGTGCGCCAGGAGATTGCCATTTGGGTTCCGATTTGCAGGCTTGATCCCCAGTTGGGGCATGCAGGAAGGAGCAAAGTTTTTCTCTCATTGGTGTTTTTATCTCTGTGTCTCTCTGTCCCTTCCTCTCTTTGAAACCAATAAAAACATATTTTAAAAAATATGGCTTAGCAGTTGGAGTGTAGGCCTGCAGACCAAAGAGTTGCAGGTTTGATTCCTGTTCAAGGGCATATACCTCTGTTGTGAGATCCCTGGCCCCAGTTGGGATCATGCGGGAGGCAACCAATCAATGTGTGTCTGTCACATCAATGTTTGTCTATCTGTCTGTCTTTCTCCCTCCCAAAAATAATAATAAAACAAAAAAACAGAACTCAAATGGGGATGATGTCACAATTCTATTAAACCTTGAGAAGTTCCCTACTGTCTTAATAAGGTGTTAAATAAAACCTTAGAATGGCATTTGGGGTTTGGTTTTGTTTTTTTAATTTACTATTCAACTAGTTTTTCTTTTTACACTTGTCATTTGCCACTCCAAAACAGTTAACCACAGTACTACTTGCCCAAACATACTGTTTTCTTTATGCTTTTGTTTTTGCTCATGATGTTCTTTCTGCCTAATGCTCTTTATCACATATCTTTATGTCCACTTGAGGAACTCCTTTTCTTTGTTAAAAATACAGATAAAATTTCACTTATGTGAAGTATTGGTACTACTTAGAATTCTGATCTTCCAGGTCAGTGCTCTCAGCTTAGTTTTAATACTTAAAAAGGAGAACCTATGTTTTCTGTATATATTACCAAGTACGTCCTAGGGCTCTTAAATTTTAAATTGGATTACTCTGATTTGACTAGTGGGAAATAACAGTGAAACATCTATTTCCTTGAGCAAAGTCTTTTTGGATGCTTGTAATAACATACCATAACAGATTATGGGTTTTAGTGTCGTTTCCCCCCCCCCCCCCCCACCTGAGGACATTTTTGCATTTATCTTCAGATAGGGAGTGAGAGAGAGAAACATGGATGTGAGAGAGACACATCGACTGGCTGCCACCCACACTACCCCAACTGGAGCCAAGGATGAACCGCATCCGAGGTACATGCCCTTAGTGGGAACCGAACTCAGGTCTCTCTGGTCTGTGGGCCGACACTCTTAACCGCTGAGCCAAACTGGCCAGGGCATGGGTTGTATGTAGTATCTTAAGCATCCTGGCATATAAAATTGACCATTACTTTCAATGAGCTTTTTTACTTAGATACATTATATGCTAATCTCTTTTTCTGATTTTTAAAATTTTTTTTCTTTTTTCTTTGTTAATTTTAGAGAGGAAGGGAAAGGGAGAGAGAGAGAAAAACATGAATCAGAGAGAACATTGATTGGCCACCTCCTGCATGCCCCGCTCTGGGGATCGGGCCTACAACCTGGGCATGTGCCCTGACCGGGAATCAAACCGGCGACCTCTTGGCACATGGGTCAATGCTCAATCACTGAGCCACACTAGCTGAACCTTTTTTCTGATTTTTAAAAGCTCATATATACACTCATGTTAAAGTGGCTCTATAGTACATTACTCTTGAAAAATAACTGTTTCAAGACCTTGTAGTAAATAGATTGATGTGGTGCTTTTGCTTGTTGGCTTTTTAAAAATAATTAATAATCATTTTGATTAGGAAAGAACCTGTAAGAATGAGCATATGGTTTTCTTTTCTACATCTCTATTTTTTCTGTACACATTCAAAGGCAGGAAAAATGTGTGATTCGGCTTAGCTAAAATGATTGTTGACTTACAATTTATAACCCTTAAGAACGTGATGATTCTAATATTTTACAGGGTTAGTATTTCAGTCAAAATGTATTATTTTTATCTTTTATTTAAGTCAGGCACTGTAGCATTTCTCAAAGGTACTACAGTGGTCAATAAGATATATATACAGCTCCTGTCCTTACAGAATTTACAAAAATAGTAGGTAAGCATTACAAGAAAATTTCCTAGGATATAGACATGTTATTAAGAGGAAATTGTTTCAGTAAATAGTTTAATACATGGTCAAATATAAGAGATGATTAAAATAAAAACTTGCTGGATTTGATGAGGCACTAGCGATGGGTTTTGAAACAGCTGTTTTAGAGAATGATGGCAACAGAAATTTTGTTAACGCAGCAGTAAGAAGAAAGAAGAGGGTCAGTATTTAAGGTATATGCCTACACTAAGACCAGAGTGCTAGACTTTATAATTCTATTTAAATTATAGCTATTCTGTAATGTAAGCGCTATTTTTTTTTTTTTTTTTGCTGAAGTAATAGGCTCAAAGAGGTTAATTAATGAATGCACCATTTGTTAGCTGGCTTATAAATGAGGTCATTTTCATTCATAAAATGTTCGTCCTCTGGCACCTTGAAAAAGTGAAGGCAAAAGGTTTTTTTCACAGAGGAGGTTGGTCACTAAAAGTTAAATAATCAAGTCTAAGCAAAAGATTGCAATTTTTTTTTTAATCCTCATCCGAGGACATTTTTCCATTTTTTGTACAGACAGAGTGGGAGGGAGAGAGAGGAAGAGAGAGAGAGGGAAACATCGATGTGAAAGGGACACATCGAGTGGCTGCCACCCGCACGACCAATCAGGGCTGGGGACAAACTGCAACCGAGGTACGTGCCCTTAGCGGGAACCGAACCCGGGTCTCTCCGGACCGCAGGCGGACGCTCTGACCGCTGAGCCAAACCGGCCAGGGCGATTGCAGTTTATTTTTAATCTTAACATATTAAAGATTAAAATATAGGAGGGAAGATTAATGATAACATCAAAAGGGTTAAATGTACTTAAATTCTGGGAGAGAGAAAGTATCTGGGAGAGAAAGATAGTATAGGATGAAGGGAGGAGTGGAGCAAATAGGATGCAGAGAGACATTTCTGTTACATGACAGGAGAGAAGATATCACATAGAGAAAGGAGAAATGAGAGTAAGGCCGTTTGAACTGAATTGCATAAATCTGTGAAAGGCCTACATTGCTCTTAGAATTGCAAATTAAAGAAGTATACATTTTAGAGAACAACAATTAGACATTGTAGAAGGCAACACTAAGTGGTTTCCATTTATAAAATAAGAATGATAATACTACCAATAGGCTTACTATGAGGATAAAATGAGTTAGTATTTGTAAAGCATATAGTAAGCCTATATAAGTATTTGATAATTGATAGGTTTAACCTGCACTAGTGAGGGATCAAACAAGATATAACATGCTAAAATGCTATAAGTAGGGAAGGTAATACAAATAATTTAGGTATTTTTTTTTGTTCGTTTGCTTTTCTTCATTCTCTAGCAGTATTTAAGTTTACTGTTATAGTTTTAATGGGCATAGGACTAGATTGACAAGATGAACATAGGACTAATTTGACAGGTATTACATATTTCTATGGTATCCAAAATGGTGGTTGTATGGACTAAATAAGTAATGGCAGCAACTGGCAGGAAATTGTCCCCACTACTTGATGGTTAATCCGTATATCTGATGAGTCTTTTATTGATTCTAAGTGAAATTGTCACAAACAAAACTAGTCTTTTTACATTTATGTATGTGTATTGGCTTTCTTTCATTAGGCGGTCAAGAAGCAGATCGAGAAGGAGATCACATTCTAAGTCAAGGAGTAGGCGACGATCCAAAAGTCCCAGACGGAGAAGATCTCATTCCAGAGAAAGAGGTAGAAGGTCAAGGAGCACATCAAAAACCAGGTACAGTAGACTTAACCCTGAGTGGGAAGACAAATTTTAGAGTTCCTAAGACCCTAAACACTGTGCTGCTTAATGACAAAAGAGATGGTAATGGGAGATAGTTTCTCCCCCCATCTAGCCCTATTTAAAGTTTGATGAAGCTAACGATTGTTTTCTTGTTTCCTTTGTAAACTTGAGATTTCTACTTATAGCTGAAGACCTAGATAAGATTTCTTTGTCATAGAAAGAAATTCTTAGTTGTCCCTACCACACCTTCTTTATTTCCTCCTTTACAACTGAACCACTGCTAAGGATTTAGTGCTACCAACTATTCCTCATGACATGCCACAAAGTGTGTGGCAGACAGCCATGCTTTAATTTATCTTTATATATCTCATCATCAACACTTAAAAATATTTATTAAGATGTGCTATATGCCAGGCACTCTTATCCCACGATTTGGGACCAGTAAAGAATTGAAGTGACGATTTATTAAAAAGCAAAAGACCTGCCCTGGCCGGTTTGGCTCAGCGGTTGGAGCGTTCGCCTGCGGACCAGAGAGTCCTGGGTTCGTTTTCCAGTAGGGGCACGTACCAAAAAAAAAAAAATAGATTAGATTAGATTAGAAGGTCGGTAGATAGATAGATCAGACAGGTACACAGACAGACTAGATAGATAGATAGAGACAGACTAGATAGATAGATAGATAGATAGATAGATAGATAGATAGATAGATAGATAGATAGATAGGATGGATAGCAAATGTCCCCAACCTAACATTTTATTTTGATTTAAACATGTGTTCAGTAATCAGTCTTTTACATTTAAAATGTGATACCTTTTAAATTAGTATGTCTAGTCTTGAGTAACATACCAAAACATTCTTTTTCATTTGAATCACCTTTAAAGTGGCAAGAGAACTCTTGTCACTTGAAAAGTGCCTAGAGTTTTACATTTTTCTGTTTAGTTGTCGCATACAGTTTCACAATACATTTTTTAGCAGCTGTCTTTTATCTCTTCCTAAAATATTTGCCTTATTTTTCTAGAAGCAGTTCTTTATACTACTTTATCCATCTGTGTAATTTAATTGTGTAATTAAAATAAAGGACAGCAGGGGACCAACAGAATTTATTCTTGGGAAACATATGGGAACTAAGTTTTGGGATACCTTTGCTGAGTTGTTCAGCCTGTGAGGAGGCTTTTAGTCATGTTTTACAGGGTGGGTCATCTCTTAGTTCAGTCAAACAAACAAGCTTCTTTAATTAAATATCTGTCATACAAAGAGGAATTTGGCATTCCTTTCCTCAAGGAACTTTATAACAGGAAGGGCCATTGTTAGTGATGCTGGTAGAGGCTTAATTGAGAAGTAACTCTTGAGTATTAATTTGAGATAGATTTGCCTGGACACAGTTGTGGGGGTGGGGGCATGATTTCGGATAGAGAATGTTGTTTACGGAGATAGCATGGATTCTTGAAAAGGCAGTTATTTTGGTGTAGGAAGGCCAGGAAATGAGGTTTAAAAAAAATGTAAGGAGACAGGTAGCAAACAAAGTTTTATTGTTCACCTGATCCAGGAAGCATCCGCGGAATGGATTGAAAAGCAATGAACAGGGAGTTGATATTTTTAAGTTTGTACTTTGAAAAGATTTCTGATAAGAGGGTATAAGATCAGTTTGCAGGAAATGTAACTGGACTGCTTAAGGGACTGTTACAGTAATGTACGAATTAGATGATGGAGACTTGAATGAAGAGAGAGGGGGAATGACGGAGCGGGGTAGCCAAGGAAGGAAGCAGTGGGGGAATCAGCTTAGAGCAACAAACGAGACACTTTAACCTCTAAAATTATAGAATAATTAAGGATGGGTGTATATGTGTTTATGGATGTAAGGAATTTCTCATTCAACAAATAAATTGATCCCTTTGCCCAGAGTCTTGGAGAGAATGGTGATTTGGGGGAAAATAATGTTGTGGTGAATAAAAGTCAATTAATTTACAAGAGTCTGTAGAAATACTTAGAATTGAAGTATAGTAACAGTCGATTATGGTGTAGTATTTTTATAATAGCACTGAGTATCCCAGAATATGTAGTAGTAGAAAAAAGGTAGACAGTTGGCTTAATCCATGATAGAGATTAACATGAGGTGCGTGCTTTGGAAGAATATTGATAATTAATTTTGTTAGTGCATTATGAGTTTTGGCCTTACAAAGGGCATAGAACAATCCTGGGTTGGGAAACAAATCAGTTCAGAGAAAAAGGACTAGTGAAAAGCCTAGAGAAACTGAAAAAGTTTTTTACCAAAAATAATACCATTTGAATTCTATTTCTATACAGTATCTATTAGAATAATGTTCATATTTTAAGAGTGGAATTAGATCTCACTGTGCTTTTTTAATTGTAGCACTGCATACGTTTAGATCAGCTGAAATGTCTAATGCATTCATACATTGTGTTCATTCATTAGAGACAAAAAGAAAGAAGACAAAGAAAAAAAACGTTCCAAAACACCACCAAAAAGTTATAGCACAGCCAGACGGTCCAGAAGTGCGAGCAGGTAAGGCATTATGAATTCTTGGCATTTCTTAAAATTTGTTTGCAAGGATATCAATGGATTGTGAACATTAAATGCTTTCTAGTACATACAGGGGTGGGCAAACGTAGGTTTACAGTTGTGAGTGCACAAAACATGGTTTATTAATTTTTGTTTTTCATATGAACAACTGTAAACCTACGTTTGCCCACCCCATACATACTTCAGGGGGGATCATTTTTTGAAGCAATTTGTGAAGAATAACCTAAAGTTCATCTTTTTTTTCCCCTTAATATTTGTGGTAGAGTGTATGTGAAATAATATGGAATTCAACAGAGGTCAGTTTTTATGTTTGCTATATGCATTTCTCATCCTGATTTGAATTACTGCGTTAAATTTATTTTATTATAGTAAGTCATATTTAAAATGTCCACATATTAGTACTCAGGTACTAATGGGAATCAGGTTCTAATATCATTCTTAGACTTGTAATTTTACCTTTAAACTGCCATACTATAAAAATTCAATGTTGCAAACTTGACTCCACAGGAATATATTTTTCACACTTAACATTGGAATTTATATGAAATTAGTAAGGGCTTATGAAATTAGTAAGGGCTGGTCATACTTAATTACATCTTCTTCCATTCTAGTTCATACATTTTGCTGCGGTGTTTGTTTTCTTATCTTGATTATTAAATGCTAGGAGGCTCACTTTATATACAAAAAATAATTCAAAATGGATGAATGACCTAAATGTAAAACTTAAAACTAAAAATCTCTTAGAAGAAAACATAGAAATAAATCCTTATGACCTTGAATTTGGCAGTGGTTTCCTGGATAGTACATCAAAAGCTAAATGTAAATTTTGCAGGTCATCAAAATTAAAAACTTATGTTTCAGAGAATATTATAAAGAAAGTAACAACAACCTAGAATGCTAGAAAACAGCAAATTATATACTTGAAAAGGGACTTGTATCTAGAATATGTAAAGAACTGTTACAACCCAGTTAAAAATGACCAAAGAGTCTGAATTGACAGTTCTCCAGAGAACACATGCAAGTGTCCAATAAACATGAAAAGATGTACATTAGTCATCAGGGAATTGCAAGTCGTAACCATTTCACAGCCACTAGAATGGTTATAATAAAAAAGACAGATGATAACTAGTGTTGGTGAGGTTGTGGAGAACCTGGGACTCTGTATGTTGCTGGCGTGGGTGTAAAATGGTGCAACTGCTTTGGAAAACAGCTTGGCAACTCCTTAAAAAGTTAAACAGAGTTTTTTGACACAGTAGTTTCACTTCTAAGGATATACCCAAGAGAAACGAAAACATTTCACACAAAACCATTTATACTAATTTTCATAGCAGCAACATTAATAAGAACGAAAAAGGCATCCCAAATGTTCATTAACTAATGTGAGTAAACAAGATGGCATATCATACAATGAAGTATCCAGCAATAAAAAGGAATAAAGTACTAATACAATATGCATGAGCCTTGAAAACTTGCCAGATGAAAGAAGTCAAAACGAACCATAAATTATATGATTCCGTTTATATGAAATGTCCAGAATAGGTAAATCTATAAAGACAAAATAGATTAGTGATTGGGGTGTGGTAGCTAATGGGTATGGGATTTCTTTTCACGGTGAGGAATATTGTCACGGTGAGGAATACAGTTATTCCCAGGGTAGCTATGGAGTCTTGGTTCCAGGACCTCTTGTGGATACCAAAGTCCAAGAAGCTCGAGTCCCTTATGTTAAATGACATAGAATAATACATACAGTTAGCCCTCCCTGCACATATGGAGGACCAACTATTAAAAGAAAATGAAACCAGCTTTAAGTACTTCTGAAGATGCCAAACTATATGAGTGCCAAACTAGATCTGAGGGATAGGTAGGTGGCAAAGGGGCATAAAAGATGGGGTGTGCAACATGTATTTTTCTTTCCTTACTAGAGGCTTTTTTTTCCCTGTTGCTTTATTTAATGTACTTATTCATAAGCACTTCATCCTGCTTAATTATTGAATCACTTTAAATTAAGGCATATTCTGTAAGTTTTTATTGAATACCTGCCTGTATGTTTGTAGTTGTGCTAGTCTATCAAGGAGCACAGAAATATAAAACAGGTCTTCTGTCTAGGGAATTTGGAGTATGAGTTACACACAGCAGTAGCAAAAGTATGAGGTATACAGCCTGACAAAGTTAATATTTGATGAATGAAAAGTTGTATGGAATGTTTCCAGAACCAGGGTGGGGGTGGAGTGGTGTTTTTTAAGCTTCTAGAAACTAGATAAATGAAATTAGAGGTTTATTTTATTTTGTTTGTGTCTAAATTTTATAATGGTCATCTTGCAAGTCCTGATAACTTTTGGGAATAGTAACAAAAGTGGAATTTCTTTTTAAGCCACATTTTAAAGAGAGGGAAAAAGCTGTACATGGTAAACACTAGTTGCTCAAAGCAGGGTTGAGCGCATGGTTTGCTGGAGTAGAGGGAATCAACCTGATCTCTGTGTTACCATTAACTCTGAATTTTACCTAATGATTTATTTTTTTATCCTCACCTGAGGACATTTTTCCATTTTTGTTCTGATAGAGTAGGAGGAAGAGAGAGAAAGAAACATTGACATGAAAGGGATGCATCAAGAGGCTGCCAGGGTCAGGGACAAGTTGCAACCGAGGTGTGTGCGTGCCCTCGACGGGAATTGAACCCGCGACTCATTGGTCCGCGGGCCTGTGCTCTAACCGCTGAGCCAAACCAGCCAGGGCTTACGTAATGATTGAAAAGTAATGTATTTTATTAGCTCCTGCCTTGCATATTACAACATTTGATCCTTTACCGCTTCTGGACACTGATGTGTGAATTGAAAACTGAATTCTTAAAAAAAAGAAAACTGATTTCTTAAATATTTTACTTCAGATAGGTTTTATCTCTTGTCAGTCTTTCCTCAAGTTTAACAAATTTGATGTCGTGATTGATGTAATTTCTTTAAGAATTGCTGGAAATTAGGGCATTAAAGGAAAGACACATAGTTTGAAAGAGATTTGTGGTTTATTATTAATTTGATCCTTCAGTTCAAAGCTATTTGAAAATGGGTCTTTCATGATCACAGTCCTTTGTGAGTTTTCTATGGAGTGCCATCGAAGACACATCTGCTGTGATGTGTCTGTATTTTAAAGTCTAGTTGGTACATTTGTGGTTCTAGAGAGAGACGACGGCGACGAAGTAGGAGTGGCACAAGATCTCCTAAAAAGCCTAGGTCTCCGAAAAGAAAACTGTCTCGCTCACCATCCCCTAGGAGGTAAGAATATTAATGATTTAGATCTATTCTATTTTTTTCAGAAACTTTCTTTTCAGAGAAGTGTACTTATGAATATGTTTTTATTTCCTTTTATGAGGTAGGACTGTTATAATAAACTGTTAAGCATTGGGCATTTCAGACCTGTAACCAAATTAGCTTTCTTGCCTCTGTTACTGTGTACAACTTGTATCCAGTGTTTTGAGAATGGACCTTGCTATCTTTTTTACTTTTTTTGATTGATTTGAGGAAGAAACATCGATTTTGTTGTTGTTCCATTTATGTATGCATTCATTGGTCTTGTATGTGCCCTGATTGGAGATCAAACCTGTAACCTTGGTGTGCTGGGATGATGCTCGAACCAACTGAGCTACCTAGCCAGGGCCCTGCTATCTTTATATCATGGGAATTTGGATCAAGTTTAGCACCTAAAGAATTTTAAATGTATTGCTATACTTACGGGTGAAACTTCTCAAGTGTATCCTTTAAAGCATCTTTTTTTTTTCTTGAGAACATTTTACTGTTATTCTAGGCATAAAAAGGAGAAGAAGAAAGATAAAGACAAAGAAAGAGGCAGAGATGAAAGAGAACGATCAACAAGCAAGAAGAAGAAAAGTAAAGATAAGGAAAAGGATCGGGAAAGAAAATCAGAGAGTGACAAAGATGTAAAAGTATGTTTAAAAACTAATTTATTTTGATATTTTGAATGGTACTAGTGCTTGTAAGAATTGATTTTTCTGTGAAGACGTTTACTTTTATTATTCTCCTCGGCAAAGCAGGTTACACGGGATTACGATGAAGAGGAACAGGGGTATGACAGCGAGAAAGAGAAAAAAGAGGAGAAGAAACCAACAGAACCAGGTTCCCCCAAAACAAAAGAATGTTCTGTGGAAAAGGGAGCTGGTGATTCCCTAAGAGAATCCAAAGTGAATGGGGATGATCATCATGAAGAAGACATGGATATGAGTGACTGAACATTGCCTCCATGCAGTCCAACTGTATACATGCATCAGTGTCATTCCTTTGTGTGATTTCTTAATGCTGTATTTGTTCATCTCAAACCTTAGATGTATACAGCTCTGAGCTATAAATGGTTATAAAGCTCCTGATACTGATATTATTTACATCCAAAAGCTTTTAGAAAATGATACAAGGGTAACCAACTCTTGCCATGGTGAAATCTGATTGAGTAACCAAGCAGTTTTACTATTCTGGTGCTGCTTCATAACAAAAGTGAAAAGCTGCATGCATCTACAGCAGGCATGGATTGTTTATGTTGTATGATCTCCCTTATTAAGTAAGTTCACTTATAGTATTTCTAGAATTTGATTCATTGCCGTAATAGAGCCATGTAGGGAATGCACTGATTGCATGTTAATTGTGGCAGGAATATCCTAAATGTCATTAAAATCTTCCAACATGATGGATCTACTTATGGTCTTGTTTGTTGACATGACAAATTAACATTCTTATAGTTACATCTGGAAATAAGCATTTGAAATAGATAATCCTTTAAGCCTTGTGGCTGAATTTTTTGTGGCTTTTCTTTAACTTTGAAAGGTTATATATGCACTAACCTTTTTTGATGGCTGCTTAGGCTTTAATTACAGAAACAAGGTATCAAATGAAACTGTCTTTGGCAGTGAGTAAACAGCATATTTTGAGGTAGAGTTGTATACTTTTTCACAAGGTGTTTGGGAATTTTTTTTCCTGAAATAATTTATTCCACACCTACATCAGTGAAAGCTATCTGCCTATCCTGAGTCCATCTGTAAAAGAAAGATGTATCTCTCGTCCTGATTTTCAATTTTCAACTTTTATTAGTTTTAATCTACGTGTTGGAAAAAGGGGGTAGTGCATTTTAAATTGACCTTCATATGCTTTTAAAATAAGACAAATGTACTTGATAATGTACTTTTTATTTGATCTCAAGTTGTATAAAACCAATAAATTTGTGTTACTGTTAACTGCAGTAGTAATCTTATGCCCAGTGATTCCATGTTAAATGCAAAGTAGTTAGGTAACTGTTTTCTTAGTTACAGGAGTTTTCAAGCTTCACTTTTGTGCAGTAAAAAACAAAAGTAGGCTACAGTCTGTGCCATGTTGATGTACAGTTTCTGAAATTGTTTTACAAGACTTTGATAATAAAACCCTTAAACTTATGTTCATGTTCCTGTAAAACCGTATTTGTATTTATTTACAAGCTGTTGAATGTATGACATTTACCTCATTCATTTTACAAGTCAAGTTCTCTCCCCTTCAGCCTACATATTTACATATAAAATCCATCACTAGCTATTAGTTGCCATCAGAATGTCAAAATTGGTTTAATTTCTATCTAAAACAATCTATTAGTGTAAATTACTCATATTTTGGGTGTAGGGATGGGGTTGAGTAAAGCAATGAACTGTAGGATAAACAAATGATCCCACCTATATCTAGTAAATTTATATTTTCAGTGAAATATTTGCCTTTGCTGAAATAGTATAGCAACTGTCAATGGTATGTATCTATTGTACAATACTACATAGTATATTTATTCACGTAAGAAATAAGTAGTGTTAGAGTGGCTGGGATTAAGGGGGAAATGAGAATAGCTTTTATCCAAGTTTGATAATTTTTTAACTTTTAAAATTGAAATGCCATATAGAAAAGCAGCATTGTTTTTACAGTTTGTAGTAACTTTTTAAAGATTTTATCAAAGGGAATTTTGTTTATAGTTAAGTTCAGGTAATCTTAATAATCACTTCATTTTAGAACAGTTGAATGCAAATGACATTTACTTAAAACTACAAAAACTTTTTTAGTAGATAAAGGTTGAACCACATGACATTGCCATTTTTGTAAATCAAAACAAATAAAATATTGGCAGTTTCACCAGGTTAAACCTAATATTAGTCTATTTTCCTCACTTGTAATCTCTGAATACTTAACTTTTCAAAAGGGATTAAGAAAATTTTGGCTATAAAATAGTGCCACTGATATAAGATGCTGCAGTGAAGGGAATCCACTAGAGTGTTTTTTTCAGTGAACATTGTATGCACAATGGTAGGGGGTTGCACAGGAACACAAGCCTTTAACAGATAATCAGTTGAAATCAAGTGAACACTGCCTCCACACTGAGTTTTGTTCTGTATTAGAAGTAAATGATTAAAATAAAAGTGGTTTTGTTAGAAAAAATGTTTGTTCTATTTATTTGCTTAAATACTTCAGGAGTGAATGAGAGACAGTGGCTATATGAATCCAGTCGTGAGTTTCAGTTTCATTGATAGCTGGGGAGACCTGCTACTTCCATTTTCCTAATTGTAAAACGGGACTGATACCCGTCTTGCAATGTAGGGGGGGGGGGTGCACGCATGTGTTGCCTGGTCAAAAAATGGTATGGAGCTTTTCAAAATTACAGTAATTTCCTTTGGGTTAATGTTTGAGCAAAGTACTAAGATAAATTGCACGCAGATAAGACTGTGAAGGCTATGTTGCTCTTTTAATTCTTGTGAAGATGGGTTTTGGAAAAAAATTTTCCTGGTAGTAATTACAGTACGTGTATGTAGAAGGCAGGGAAATGTTAGGTACCTAGGAAAAGAATAAAACAGGGCTTTACTATAACAGCATCTTACAACTGAGTCAAGTTCTGGTGTGGCTATCATAGGGACTGCACAAGCCAACTTTTCCTCTAGCAAACAAGACCAGACACCTTTCAAACTGAAAGTGAGATTTGTTCCTTTTGTCTCAAATCTAGCTGATGCATTTCATTCCTATGCTATCTATATTTTTCTAGTCAAGTACGTAAGTTGTGTTTACTTTGGTTAAATATGAAGAGCATCCAGGATGTCTATTCCTAAGGTTTTATTAGCAAACGTAGTTTATAAATGAGACTAACTTTGGACCTGTAGATTTTTTAGTTTGTTTTACAGTTTTAATTTTGTTGCCTTTTTCATTGTATGTGAAATTCATTCAGAAATTCTTCAGTGAAATAACATGCAAACCATACTAATTCACCTGTGGGAATATATTCTTAAGAAAATACTTATTCATTTTTTTAAAAGAATATACTTATTACTAGCAAGCCAAGACAATCCACAGAATAGCTAACATGTTTTAAATGATGTCCTTACAAAAATAATTGGGGAAGTGACACTCACATTCTTCTCAAAATTTCACTTTGTAAAGGTTATTTTCCCAGTGCACTGTCGCTAAATTAGTGATACTAAAATTAGTATCATGATTTTTTTTTTTTTTTTTTTTTTTTTTGAGAAAGGGCGAGAGAGAGAAACATCAGTGAGAGAGAACATCGATTGGCCACCTCGTGCATGCCCCACACAGGATTTGGCCCACAACCTGTGCCCTGACTGGGAATCAAACCAGTGACCTCTTGGTGCATGGGTTGATGTTCAACCACTGAGCCACACCGGCCGGCCATGATGTCTTTTTCTTAAAGCTAGTTAGCTAAAGTATGATTTGTGCATTAGGAATGGAAAGTTTAGGGTCACAAAAGGTAAAATGTTAAAATTTGTTTGCTTAAATAGCAGGTTTTAGAAGACAAGCATGTAGATTAAAGCCATTATTTTTCTTTCTTTTTTGTTCATCCTCACCCGAGGATATTTTTCCATTGATTTTTTAGAGTGGAAAGGAGGGAAGGAGAAACACCAATTTTAATATGAGAGAGACATCTATTATTGGTTGCCTGTCACATGACCCTGTTGGGCCAGAGATCAAATCTGCAACACAGGTATGTGCCCTTGACTGGGAATCGAACCCACAACCCTTTGGTCAGCAGGCCAAGGTTCTTAAACCCTGAGCCAAACTAGCTAGGGAAAAAACCATTTTTCTTACCAGTCAACATTCAATCAAAGGAGCAGAATGAAAAAGATTTGTTACAGGGATTTGACCTTAATAATTATGGGAGTTGGTTAAGCAGTCTCAGTGTTGTTTGTGGTCTGCATAATACTGGAGCTTGAAGCCCACAGGCAGTTGGGAAGGGAAGGTGGATTGATGGAGAGGGAAGAGTAAGTTGAAACCACTAGCACACGCTGGAACCCACAAGGACAGGCTAAAACTCAGGTTTCACTGCTTCTGGCCTGGGTGGCATAGAATAAGCTAGGACCCTTCATGAAGCTAACACAAAGACCTGGCCCACAAGTCTGAGGAGAAGTTGAAGTAACTGCAGGCCCAGCTCTGCCTCATCCCAAAGATAAGCCGCAAAATGTAGAAGCTACAAAATTTCTGCTTCCCTTTTCTCCAACTCCTGCACCACCCATTTTCATTAAAGCCAGCCCGGCCGGTGTGGCTCAGTGGATTGAGCATCCTCCCATGGACTGAGGTCCCGGTTCGATTTCCCAGTCAGGGCACATGCCCAGGTTGCGGGCTTGATCCCCAGCAGGAAGTGTGCAGGAGAGAGCCAATCCATGTTTCCCTCTCACGTTGATGTTTCTATCCCTCTAAAAAACGTATTTTAAAAGAATAAATAAAAGCATCCCAGCCAGTCATCATCAGCCGCCTTTAGTGATTAAGAATGCTATAGAAACCCTGGCCGGTTTGGCTCAGCTGTTACAGAGCGTCAGCCCACAGACCAGAGAGTCCCGGGTTCGGTTCCTGCCACGGGCACATACCTCAGATGCAGTTTTTGCCCGCCCCCAGTTGGGGTCGTGTGGGTGGCAACCACTCGGCGTGTCTCTCTCTCACATGGATGTTTCTCACTCTCTCTTCCTCCCTCTCCTTCCTGCTCTGTCTGAAGAGAGATGCACAAATGTCCTCAGGTGAGGATGGGGGAAAAAAAGCTATGGGAGCCTGGCTGGTATGACTCTGGTTGAGCATCGACCCACACACCAAGAGGTCACTGATTCGATTCGTGGTCAGGGCACATGCCCAGGTGTGGGCTCAATATGGGGTGGAAGGCATGCAGGAGGCGGCCATTCAATGTTTCTCTCATTTATGTTTCTATTTCTCCCTCTCCCTTCCTCTCTCTCTAAAAATCAATAAAAAAACATTATAAAAAATGAATGCTATGGGAGGTGGTACAGGTAAGTAAGTGGTGTTTTTTTTTATTTTTTTCGGTTTGTATTATACAGAGTTTTTACTTTAGGCTAATTCACCTGCAAAACATGATCAAATTCAGGAATGATCGACAAGTACCTTACTTTAAAACCCTTAGGTAATTTTGCTTAGGTATTTGCAGGTGCTGTGGCAAAAATGAAACTGTAGCTACCATAGGTGCCATTACGACTAAAAGAACTATTATAAAATGAGCTTATAATTTTAGAAGTTCCTCACTAGGTAGTACTGTAAAGAGGGTCACAATCTAAACATGCAAACCTTGAGATGACATTTTTAGATGGCAACCTGGTACTATTGCCCCAGATTCCTGACATAAAATGCTTTACAAAAGTAGTTTTTGCTAATTCATAGTACACAACTGGTGGGCTTTACCAAGCTGTCTGTCAATTGTCTTTCAAAATTTCCAGTTTCCAAATATATAGCAACTTTGATAAGGCTGCATTTTGTTAATTTTAGAAAACATGTCTAAGGTACCTTTTGCTGGAAGTAATAGCAGAGGCATATTGTGTTCCATACTAATCAGTAATTTTCTCAATTTTAAAGGCAGAACTTTAAATTCACCGTTTTCTACTGCAACTTTCTCAACCATGCTGTTAGCAAATAGTGACATAAATGAGCAGCCCTTAAATCTATCTGAAAACATTTACTCCAGTCCTTTGTTGTCGCCTTGATACAGGATCAATTCAATACACCTAGTGAAAAACAGGGTCACTCCAGAATCATCCACTACCCTCCCCCAAGGTGTGATTTATAAACTGTACATGAGTAACTCTATAAAAACCCAATTCTATTAGTGTGAGTGGGCTCAATACTAGTTCAAAGAAATAAATTGTTTTTCAGCTTCTGTCAGCTCTTAGCTTCTCTGAAATGTGTTCATTTCCAGACGATCGTATGTTCCTAGATTCACAATAATTAAAGCACCTGCTTTATGCTTCCTTTTCATGAAGTCTGACAATTCTCTATGAACATCTACACACAGAAGCAAATTGTCTCTAGGGAATTATTTTCTTCAAGACAAGAATTATATATCTTTTTTTTTTTTAATCCTCACCCGAGGACATTTTTCCATATTTTGTTCAGATAGAGTGGGAGGGAGGGAGAGAGAGAGAAACATCGACATGAAAGGGACACATCAAGTGGCTGCCACCCGCACGACCCAACCAGGGCCGGGGACAAACTGCAACCGAGGTATGGGCCCTTAGCGGGAACCGAACCCGGGTCTCTATGGACCGCAGGCCGACGCTCTAACTGCTGAGCCAAACCGGCCAGGGCAAGAATCATACCTTTTGATACCACACTGGTGGCAGGAATAGCGAGCATTTCAAAACAGCCATTAAGGTGACCATTTCACAGTTCCCGAAGTTTAAAATGTCTTCAATCACAATTAGGAGGCATAAAGAATTTTATGGACCAACATTACAAAATCTAGATTTTCATGTAAGATTATTAAAATATATGGTGTTTTAATTTACTTACTTGAAACAGAATATAGCTTCATTCATTAACTGGACTAAAAGGCACATTTTGAAAAGTTTAATGTGAAAAGTTTATTTGCATTAATAACTCCTTGTTTTCACCATCATAAGAGATACTGACATTTGCTTGTCCTTTATGATCAAATAAAAGACATTTGGAATGGATCATCTCTTTATACTATTCTTTATGAAAGAAAAGGGTAAGAGTTAAAAACAAAATCCAAGTGCAAAAGTTTTCAGTAGTCTTCCTACCTCCAGTGTACCCCAGCAAAATATTCACAGCTTTTAGGTAACTGGTAAATTCCAAGTTGCAATTTACCATGTTTTTCCCCCACTAATTTGTCTGTACGTATGAAAAAATCTATAGTATATTCCTGAAAGTGTATCATATTCCCAAAAAGTAAAGGAAGCCTAAAAGCAACAGTGATACTTGCCATTCAGTGTCTCAAACCTCACACAATCACTGACAGGAGAATTCAGTCCTAAGTCACTTGAGGAGCATTCCCGAAATAACTGGGATCGACTCGTATTCAATAAACCTAGTCTGGGTTCACCAACTCTTTCCACAAAATTCAAAAGACCACATCAGGTAGTAATTGGTCTTTGAATTTTTAACTATCATTATTTTTCTTCATTATAAAATGTATTTAACAAAATGTCAACATACGCATTGTAATATGTTATCAGCATGAAAGATGCAGCTTTAAAGATGTTTATTATAAAATTTTTCTTAAGATTGATGCTTTGGATTTGTAAATAATCATCTTTTCAGTAAAGTTTTCTAAACTCATTCAAATTATTTAAAATTCTGGAAAAAGTTTAAACTACTGGTCACTAAAAAACCTGACAGATGCATTCTGACACATTTATCAGGATACATTTAAAAAACATTTCTTTAGCTAACTTCTTAAATACATAACATATTACGACTGCTACACATTATTCTCCCTAATTTATTTTCATTCTTGGACCATCAAACCATCTTGGAATAAACATGAAAAATTTTAAGTGCGAAAATGAATAATGCATGATTTTAACACTTTGAAGATAATTAAAACCAATAAATATTTTCTTGAGACTTAAAAAAATAAAGAGTAGGAATTATCAATCTTGTGTACATTTCTGGAATTTAAATTATAACAAATATATTCTGTTAGCATATAAAATGTTTTTACCTTACTTTGAAAGCATTAAATATGTAGGGATGTCCAAAATGTGAGTTGTTGTTTAAAACTGACATGAATGCATCCTTATTCCACTAAAAACAAACAAAATAATCAGAATGATGTACACTTATTAGGAAGCAATTTTAAAATTCAAGACTATTTTTAAAGTGCTGAGAGTTGGAAGAGGGCTATCTTTAAGCATGCTAACCATACCCTATTAGGAACACAAAGAAGACTCTAAAACTCAAGTATAGAAAAAAAAAATAGAGGTTCTATGAAAGGAAGATTAGTAACAAACATTTACCATTGAAGAAAGAATTCAGGTAAAAACAAATAGCACCACAATGAATTGCACTAAGGTGCTAAAGGAGGTACCTTATTCCCTGCAGAGTGAACGCTCCTTCTGAAATGTATTGCAACATATAAATGCAATTGTTTAATGGTTACCATTTGGTTCATTCATCTACAGAAATCTGCATTCCTTTCTAGTTCATCATATTGAACATTCAAATCACTGAACTATACATAAAGTTACATAGTTTACATTTTATGAAAACAAAGTCTGAAGGAATATTTATAAATGTCACCTTGAATATAAGATGACAAGTGTAAAAGGGCTTCATATCTCTTAAGACATTTAATTTATGTTAATGGTCCAGGAGTGTTTTAGATATAACTATAGATATAGATATAGATATATATGCATATATATTTCAACAAGAAGAGTAAAAATTTTTAAAAACAAATCACAGCACTCAGCTGTTTTACATAAGAAGTACTTAGGGTCATTAAGGTGTCAAACTATTACACTATAATACGTATATTTTTAAAAAGACTGAAAATGGCACATCAGGAAACTTGCTGAGATCCTTACTAGAGGCCCATTTTATTAATCATATTACTGATGTGTCAATTCAACATAATTCCCTTTTCTTCACTGAAAGCATTTGTTCCTTCTACTTGGCTTCACTTGTGGATCCTCTTGCTTTCCTTGGTTAGATGGCATCATTTCCGTGTCAGTTAAAGGTCAGGAAAACGGCTCGGGTCTTCCTTGTAGTCATCGGGTATAGTAAAGATGGAGCCATCAAATTCGTCGTATCGAAACTCCTGAAAAGTCACAGTGGCTGTGATCGTAGGAAACACAGGTATATCTAGAGAGGACAATCAAGGATAACATTGTACAATGAAATGTTAATTCACTTGTAGACTATAAAATACTATTTGAGATATCCATAGTCCTTAAATGCAAAAACAAACAAAAACCCCACATTATTTGAAGCACCAGACCAATCCTCATATATGTTTATTATTGAGAGAGAGAGAGAGAGAGAGAGAGAGAGAGAGAGAGAGAGAGAGATGGGGAAGGATTTAGTTAGTGGTGAGAAGAGAAAGACACCAAAGCACCAAGAATTACATCAAAATCTCAAGTTCCCATTGCTTCCCAATCTTAAGGATAATGCCAGATTTGACCAATCTTTTTTTATTTTTCTTGAGGCAAAGGGAAAGCTAGTACCATTTGTACTTTTTGCATTCTGACATCTTTTCTTCAGATTATCGTATATATATATTATTCTGACTCTGAGCTCATTTGTTTTCATTCTAAAACAAAATACATGAATACTTTCTGTGTCTTAAAACACTAAAAACAATCCACCACTTAGCTATATAGGATAAAAATAGTCTCATCATAATTACATTAATATCAGGCCACCAAAACGCAATATTCTTCTAAATAAAATATATTTCTGGCTGAAATTATGAGTGAAATCTTATATTAAAAATGGCCAAATACTTTAATCACTGTGCTTAGTTTTATTTTTAATATGAATTTTTGGAAAGAACAGAAATCATAAAATCTGGGTTCTGATTCCTACAAACTATTTATGTGCCTTGGAGATTTCATCTACAAAATACACTCTACATCTTCCTTAAAACTCTGAATGATTCTAGGAAAGCTAAGTAGAGAGTCTGTCTAGAATAAAGCACACAGTAAATTAAGTTTACTTGACTGTTACAAACAGTATTTTATTGCAGAAAGTTCTTAAAATTTAAAAAAAAAAAAAACTTAAACATAATTAACATAAAGGTTAGATTTAAAAATCAACATAAGGATTACACAGATCCATTATTCCTGGGGGGGGAAAAAATCATTCATTTGTGCCTACTGAGTGTAGATGCTGTTCTAATTCAGGCATCAGCAAAGTAAAGCCCACTGCCTGATATTGTTTTTGTAAGGCTTTTGGGCCAAGAAAAGATTTTATATTTTTAAATGGTTAAAAAATAAATAAAAGAAAGCAATAATATTTTGTGCTGATGAAATCAAACTCCAGTGCCCATAGTAAAGTTGTCTTGGAACACAGGATGCCATTCGTTGACATAGTCTGTGGCTACCTTCGTTCTCCAGTAAGAGCTGGAAAGCTGCGGCAGAAGCTGTGTGGCCCACAACGCCTAAATACTGACCGTCTTTCAGAAAAAGTTTGTTATTGGATACACAACTCTACGTAACAGAAAAACATCACACATTATGGAGAGAGTCTGGCTGGAAGACAGAAACAACAAATAAGCAAAAAGTAATTGTGACTAAGCATCTCTAGAGAAAACTAAAGCATGGTAGGAAGACAGAGTCCCAGTGTTCGGGGATCAGAGTTCTTGAATAGGGCGGTCAAAGGAAAACCTTGATGAAGTGACCTTTCAGCACGACCAAAGAACAAACCATACAGATACCTGCAGGAAGATAATTCCAGGAATAAGTACAAAAGCCCTAAAAAGAAAGTGATTTATTCTGGAAACAGCTAGACCAGTGTGGCTGTAGCCGAGTGAGGGAGGGAAGATGAGCAGGAGATGAGGGCAGAGGGAAAAAAGGCACCGGATCAAGTGGAGTCAAGGACTAGAAAATGTATTTGGCTTTTACTCCAGATGAAATGGAAAGCCAACAGACAGTTGTAAGCAGAGTGGTAACATGTTTTGGCTTAAGTTTTAGCAGATGAAATGTAGCATAACAAGAGTAAAAGGGGAGGTGCATGAAGAAAATGACAGAACTCTATCAAAGAAGTCAGAGGAAATGTAAAGAAAAACTATTAATTGGGACAAGGATTCCACACAAAAAATAGTCAAATCTTGGAGAGATTTAAAAAGAGCAACAGAAAAGTATCTGGTACCTTTAACAAAACAATATGAGTATCAATAATAAAGTAAAAGTGGAAGAGTAAAAAGAATCTGCAGTGAGCAGCTGCATTCTTTCTGCTTTGGGCTATTACAAATAATGTTGCTATGAATGAACTTTTGTGTACAGGTTTTGTGTGAACATAGATAGTCTTTATTTTTCTGGGTTAACTGTCTGGAAATGCAACTGGATGCTTAGTTTCTATAAGAAACTGCTAAGGTGTTTCCCAGCATGGAGGAACCATTTTACATTACTACCAGCAATGCATGAGGGAGTGGCCCAGTCTCTCCACATCAGCACAAACATGTGTGCTGTCATGTTTTATTTTAGCCATCCCGTTAGGTATGGACAGTCACAGCTCATTGTGGTTTTAATTTGCATTTCTCAAATGGCTAATGATACTAAATATTGTTCATGTCCATGTTTTCTATTTACACATCTTGTGGTGAAATGTCTCATGTCTTTTGTCCTTTTCTAATTGACTTGTTTGTCTTGTTACTAATAAGTTCTAAGAGTTCTTATGTATTCTTACTTTTAACTGGATCTTTCACAGAGCAAAGAGTTTTTATTTTTAATGAAGTCCAATTCATTTATTTTTCCTTTTATAAATCATGGTTGTGGTGTGAAGTCTAAGAACTCTTCTTAAACCTGGATCCCTAAGAATTTGTTCAATGTGTATTTCCTAAAAGTTTTACAGTATTATATTCTACATTTAAATTTAAGTCCATGATCCATTTTCAGTTAATTTTTGTATGAACTGTAGAACTTTGAATGTCCTAGCCCTTTGGATGTCCTATTGCTCCAGCACCCTCTGTTGAAAAGGAAGGAAAAGGCTGTCTTTCCTCCACTAACCTGCTTAAACACCTTTATCAAAAATCAGCTGGGTATTAGTGTAGCTAGATAGTAAATATTGAAATGGATTATGGTTATGCACACTTCATCCTTCTTTTCCAAAACTGTTTTGGCTACTATTATAGGTTGAATTATTTCTCCTTAAAAAAAATGTATGTTCCAGTTCTAAAGCACAGTACCTCAAAACATGAACTTTTTGAAGAAAGGGTCTGTGCAGAAGTGATCAAGTTAATTAAGAGTCATCAGAGTGTTCCTAATCTAATAGGGCTAGTGTCTTTACAAAATAGGGAGATTTGGAAACACACAGGGAGAACATCATGTGAAGGTGAAGGCAACGACGGAGCGATGTTCTCTAAGCCAATGGAAATCACCGGAGGCTAGGGGAGGGGCAAGGGGCAGCATCTCTCTCACAGCCTCAGAAGGAACCAACCCTGGCAACTCTTCATCTCAGATTTCTCATCTCCAGAACTGTGAAACGATAAATTACTGTGTCTAAGCTACTCTGTTTGTGGTATTGTTATAGCAGCTCTGAAAAATGAATACAGATAATCTAGTTTCTTTGCCTTCCCATGTAAATTTTAAAATAATTTTGTCTATATCTACATAAAATATTGCCAGAATTGTGATAAGAATTGTGTTAAACTGTATACCAATTAGGTGAGAATTAACATCTTTTCTATGTTGAGTCTTCCAATCCATAAGCATGGTATGTCTGTCTCCCTATTTGTTGAGATCTTTGATTTCTTTCATCAGTTTATGTAATTCTCAGTATACAAATACTGTACATGGTTTGTTGGATTTATAGCTAAACTTTTCCTTATTTTTACCAATTATAAATGGTATTTAATTCTTAATTTTGGTGTCTATGTGTTCAGTGCTAACATACAGAAATACAGTTGATTCTTATTTAACATGTATCCTGCCATCTTGCTGAACTCACTAACTCAAATATTTTATTTATAGAATCATGTCATTTGAAAATGGAGGTTTTTTCTTCCTTTCTGCTTTAAATGCCTTTTTTTCCTTTTCATTCCTGATATTCTGTTTCATGCCTTATATTGGGAATTTGTGTTTTCTTTCTTTATCAGTCTTACTAATAATTTGTTGATTTTATTGATCTTTAAAAAAAAAACAGCTCTTTGCTTCATTCACTTTCTCCATTTGTTTTCTGTTTTCTCTTTCAGTTATTTCTACACTTTATTATTTCCTTCCTTCTGCTTGCTTTGGGTTTATTTTGCTCTTCTTTTTCTAAGTTCTTAAATTATTTTTTTGAGACTTTTCTCTTTTCTTAATGTATGAATTTTCCTCTCTGCATTGCTTTCGCTATATTTCACAAATTTTCCTATGTTGCAATTTTGCTTTCATTTAGTTCAATATATGCCTTTATTTCACTTGAGATTTCATTGTTGACCTATAAATTACTTGGAAGAATGTTCTTTACTTTTCAAGTATTTGGAGAGTCTCCTGTTATTTTTCTATTATTAATTTCTAATTTGACTTGACTGTGATTGATTTTCAGCTCTTTTACAATAACTGAGGTTTATCTTCTAGCCCAGCATAGAGCTTATCAAGGTATATGTTTCCATGGACAATTGAAAAGAACGTATATTCTGCTGATGTTGGATAGATGGTTCTATAGATGCCAATTAGGTGCTTTTGGTTTATGGTGTTGTACAGTTCTTCTGTATCTTTAGTGATTTTGAATCTAGTTGTTACATCAACTGTTAAGAAAAGGGTGTTGAAGTCTTCATTTATAATTATAGTTCAAATTTCCCTTTCATTTTCTTTATATTTGTTTATGGATTTTTTAGGATAGAGGAAGGAAGAGAGAGATAAACACATTGATGTGAGAGCGATACATGGATTGGCTGCCTCCTGTATGCCCCCCACTGGGGATGGAGAAAGCAACCTGGGCAGTGAACCGGGCATCGAACCAGGACTTATCAGTCCATGGAACAACGCTCAATCCACCAAGACACACCGGCCGGGTTCCCTTTCATTTTTGACTCACCTATCTTACAGCTCTGTTGTTTGGTGGCTATATATTTAAGATTGCTTTTCTTCTTTGTGGATTGACCATTTTATCATTATATAATGTCCCTCCCTGTCTCTCATACTTTACTTTCCTCTGAAATCCACTCTATCTAATATTAATATAGCTAGTCCTGTTGTTCTCTGATACATGTTTTTCCATCCTTTAATATTCAGCTTGCATATATAATTATATTTGAAAAGTTAAAGATAGCACATAGTTTGGTCATATTTTTTAATCTACTTTGTTAATTGCTGTGTGGGTGGCAGCCAGTCGATGTGTTCCTCTCACATCGATGTTTCTCTCTCTTCCTCCTTCTCGCTCTAACTGAAGATAAATGCAAAAATGTCCTCGGGTGAGGATAAAAAAAAAAAAAGGCAGAGGACCTAAATAAACACTTCTCCAAAGAGGACTTACAAATGGCCAGGAGACATATGAAATAATGTTCAGAGTCACTAATCATCAGAGAGATGCAATGAGGTATCACCTCACACCTGCCAGAATGGCCGCCATCAACAAATCAACAAACAATAAGTGCTGGCCAGGACGTGGAGAAAAGGGAACCCTAGCACACTGCTGGTGGGAACATTAGACTGGTGCAGCCACTATGGAAAACAGTGTGGAGTTTCCTCAAAAAAGTAAAAACCAAATTGTCATTTGACCCTATAAACCCATTGCTAGGAATATATCCTAAGAATCTGGAAACATCAATCAGAAAGAATATATGCACCTCTATGTTCATGCCAGTGCTATTTACAATAGCTAAGATCTAGATACAGCCCCAATAGCCGTCAGCAGATGAGTGGATAAAAAAGCTATAGGACGTTTACACAATGGAATTCTATGCAACTGTAAATAAGAAGGATCTCTTACCCTTTGAGCAGCATGGAGGGACCTGGAGAATATTAAGCTAAGCGAAATAAGCCAGTCAGAGAAAGAAAAGTATCACATGATCTCATTTACATGTGGAATCTAATGAACAAATTAAACTGACAAAATAGATCCAGAGACATGGAAGCAGGGAACAGACAGGTGGATCTCAGAGGAAAGGGATGAGGGAAGGTTGAAAGAGATAAACCAAAAAATTTATATGCATATATGCATACTCAATGGACACAGATAACAGTGTGGTGAAGGGGTGACAGGAGCAGGGAGGAGGGAGTCAATGTGGGAAAAAGAAAAAAAAAAAATGAGGGTCTAATTCCCAGTGGAATTAAATTACATTACAAATTATATTAAAAACAGCCCTGGACAGTTTGGCTCAACGGTTAGAGCATCAGCCTGCAGACCAGAGAATCACAGCTTCAATTCCAGTCAAAGGCACGTACCTTGGATGTGGGTTCAATCCCCAGCCTCAGTCAGGGTCATGCAGGAGGCAACCGGTCGATCTCTCTCTGTATCTCTGACTCGCTCTCTTTCTCGCTATCTCCCTCCCACTTCCCCTTCCTCCCACACTATCTAAGAAAAACAAAATCATCAATGTAAAAACATCCTCCAATGGGGAAATAAATAAATAATAAATGTTAGTAAACAATTCTGTATTTCTAACAGACACAGGACTTTACAAGCATTTTTCTCTTACCTAGTTTTACTGGAAAGCCTGGAGGAAGCTTCATTTGAACAAATTCTCTAAGCTTGTTAAAGTGCTTGAAGGGAGCTATTACTTCCAAAACATTCAATATTCTGAAAAATAGGAGAAAAAATGTTTTCATATTTCTAATGGATTTCTTTATGTTTTATGTGTTTTATAACCACAAGCTTTAAACTTAGACATTATTACTGACTTCTAGATATTAAGGATGAGGAAATGATAACTCCTTCCTCCTCTTGAACTTTTTGTTTTTGTTCTTCTTCTTATCATGTTAAAGTATGTAACTTTTACATTTTATAGTGCAGGCACAATTTCCACAGTAGATTTCACATCTGTATTTAAATGGATTCAAGGCTTACACCCATCTTCTTCCTGAAGTTTATACAGTCCTGAGGTCTTTGATCCACTTCACTATTTGGGTTTCTAAATTTCACTGTCAATTTTTTTTGTGTGTGTGTGAAGGTTTTTATGTGCTTAGTATTCTTTGATTTCTTCAGATTTAATAAGTGAGTGTCTCTTGCTTGCATACGCAAGGGGAAGTTTGGCTGGCATAATACTGCAGCTTACCTTTCTTCCCTCTGAACTGCACTCTCAGGGCTCCTAGCACTCAGTACTGCACTAGTCAGCAGACTGTAGCTTGTCCTTTCACCTTTTGATTTGATGGATTTTATTTTCAAGTAGTATTATTTTTCTTTCAAAAACGGCTCATGACTGTTATATTTCTTCAATTCTTATCTTTTTTTAATTTATGTGAAGAAAATTTTATGACTTTATTGAAGGATATAAAAGAAGACTAAACTAAATGGCAAGATACCATGTTCATGATAGGATACAATCCTGTAAATATGTCAACTCTTTCCCCAATTACTCTGTAAATTACATGTCATCCCAGTTAAAGCCAAACATGGTGGTTTTCCACAGAAACTGACACAATCATCCTAAAATCCAGATTTAAGAATGAAAGGCCAAGAACAAGCCAAGAATTCTGAGGAAGGAAAATGGGCAGGTATGGAACTAGGGAAGATCCAGTCACACATGGCAACTTGGCATATGACGAATCTCTTTTCAAATCAATGGGTAAAGGATAATCTAATCAATATATGGTGTTAGAACTATCAAAATGAAAAGAGAAAACCAGAACCTTATCCTATATCATGATCGAAAATAAATGTAGATGGACTAAAGATTCTATGTGAAAACATTTTAGAAGAAAACATAGGTTTACCTTTATGATCTTAGAATAGAAAATAATTTTTCAAAGACTAAAATACACACAGCACGAGGGAAAGATCGATAAACATGACATTTAAAAACTTTCACATTAGAAAATACACTAGAAGAAAAGTTAAGAGAAAGCCAGATAGGGAGAAGGTATTTGCAAAGTGACAAAGGTATATAAAAGTGACAAATAATAGTGTGTGGAATTTTATTTTAAATAGCAACTAAGAAATTGTTGCACAATTGATTTTGAGAAATTGGTTTTTTATTTTAATATGTTTTTATTGATTTTTAGAGACAGAGGGAGAGGGAGAGAGAAAAGAGAGAAACATCAATGTGAGAGAGAAACACTCACTGGCTACCTTCTGCTCGCCCCCACTGGGAATCAAGTCTGCAACCCCAGCCAGTGCCCTGCCTGGGAATCGAACCAGTGACCTCTTGGTGTATGGGATAATACCCAACCAACTAAGCCACACCAAGCAGGGCAGTATGTGGAATATTTTAAAACTCCCTAAAAATCAGTTTTTTTTAAAAAAAGACAAACAAAAATGAAAAAATGGGCTAAGAATATACAAAAGCAATTCAAAAGATTTGTAAAAGCAAGTCACCAATATTTTATATTTTTATGTTGAAAGTCACTAGTAATGAGGGAAAATAAACTGGAATAGTGAGATACCATTTCACACTCATCACAGGTGCTAAAATGTACAAGTCTTTAAATTAGGTGTTTTTCAAATAAAAAAAAATGGAAATTGTGCAGCACTAGTCGTTCATTCGTTACAGAAGGCAGCGAGCCTGGAGGAGCACTTGGGTCTTGGCTGCTCAGTCCATATTGCCTTGAAACATAAATGGCATCTTAGCTAGATAAACTATCAGATCACACTTTCTTTGCCTCAGAAATGTTAAGATGTCAAAAAATGTAAGGCCAGGATGTACCCTTTTTCTGCCTGAATGACTTCAGACAAGTTCTTCATTAAAATTGAAGTCAAATAGTTTCATTAGGATAATTAGTCACTAATTCTCTTATCAATTTTACTTGGAGCCTAATGTTATGCTACAAATTCAGTTTTCCTTACACAGAAATTTTCTCTTATATTTAGAGTGCTATTTTGGTTACATTTTGGAGACTTTCTATCTCAGGGGAATAGCAAGACTCCTCATGTTGAACCATCTCTGTCCCCTATAAATATTCCTCTCTAATTACTTTAACCTCTTCTTTCACTGCATTCACTATGAGCTACCAAAATTTAATTTTTGCCACATCTCCTGTTCATTGTTGTTTCTAATGTATTTGCTTTGCAATAGTGATATTTAGTGATTAATTTATTTCATTACCTTTACAATCTTTTTCATTTCATTCTATTATCATCTCATCTAGACTGGTCTAGTTTCATTTCATTATTTTTATGTTTTCCACAGCATTTACAAAAAAATTCCTTCTTTCTTTGACCTATGTTTTATTCTAGAATGAATTATTTGTCTGGCTTTTACATGCTATGTTCCTTTATTTCTTAACTTTTTTTCAGGAGAAATGGTTATAAATGCCACATTTATAATTTCTAATATATCCATTTTTTCAGATTTAAAATCTCTGAAATTGGGAAAACTCCTAAAGTTGAAAGCATCTTATAATTAACCACATTTTTCTTAATTAGAATATAAAACTGCCCTGCCCAGTTTGCTCAGTGGTTAGAGCATCAGCCTGAGGACTGAAGGGTCTTGGGTTTGATTCCCAGTCAAGGGCACGTGCCTGAATTGCTGGTTCAACCCCCCACTTGGTCGGGGTGATACGGAAGGCAAACAATCGACGTGTCTCTCTCACATCAATGTTTCCCTCTTTCTCCCTCCCTTCCACTCTATATATAAATAAAAAATTCAATGGAAAAATATCCTTGGGTGAGGATTATAAAAAACAAACAAACAAAAAACACAGGAAAATAAAACTGGTGCATTTATCTTTATTGTTGAGAGTATTATACATATCTCCCATTTTCCCCCATGGTCCCCCTTCACCCGGTTCCCACCACACCCCAGGCCTTCACCACACTATTGTCTGTGTCCACTAATTATGCATATATGCATATACACTCTTTGGTTAATTTCTGCCTGCCCTCCTGCCCCCTTTCCCTCTAAGATCTATCAGTCTATGTCATGCTTCCATGCCTCTGGACCTGTTTTGCTCATTGATTTATTTTGTTCATTAGATTCCACATATAAGTGAGATCATGTGATACTTGTCTTTCTCTGACTGGTTTATTTCGCTTAGCATAATATTCTCCAGGTCCTTCATGCTGTCTCCAATGGTAAGAGATCCATTTTTTTTTACAGCTGCATAGTATTCCACTGTGTACATGCACACCACAGCTTTTTTATCCACTTATCTACTAAAGGACACTTGGGCTGTTTCCAGATCTTAGCTATTGTAAATAGCACTGCTATGAACATAGGGGTTCATAAATTCTTTCTACTTGGTGTTTTGGGATTCTTAGGATATATTGCTAGCAGTGAGATCACTGGGTCAAATGGCAGTTCACTTTTTAATTGTTTGAGGAAACTCCATACTGTTTTCCATAGTGGCTGCACCAGTCTATATTCTCAGCAGCACTATACTAGGGTTCCCTTTTCTTCACATCCTCACCAGCAATTGTTGTTCAATGCTTTGTTGATGGCCACCCAACTGGCAGGTGTGAAGTGATGCCTCATTGTCATCTTAATCTGCATCTGATGATTAGTGACTTTGAGCACTTTTTCATATGTATCTTTGCCATCAGTATGTCTTCTTTGAAGAAGTTTCTTTGGAGAAGTATCTATTTAGGTCCTTTGCACATTTTTTAATTGGACTGTTTATCTTCCTTTTACTGAGTTGTATGAGCGCTTTATATTTTTGAAATTAATCCTTATCTGATGTATCATTGACAAATATATTTTCCCTTAGAGTGGGTTCCCTTATGCATTCTGAAGATGGTTTCTTTTGCTGTGCAGAAGCTTTTTAGTTTGATGTAGTTCCATTTGTTTATTTTTTCCTTTGTTTCTCTTGCCCTAGGATATGCATCAGTGAAAATGTTGCTACATGTGATGTCAGATATTTTGCTGCCTATGGTTTCTTCTAGGATTTTTATGGTTTAATGAGTTACATTTAAGTCTTTTATCCATTTTGAGTTTAGTCTTGTGTATGGTTTGAGTTCATGATCTAGTTTCTTTTTTTGCATGTACCTGTCCAACTTTCCCAAAACCATTTATTGAAGAAACTGTCTTTACTCCAATGTAATGCTCTTGCCTCCTCTGTCTAATATTAACTGAGCATCATGGCTTGAGTTTTCTGATATCTCTATTCTGTTCCATTGATCTATATGGCTATTCCTGTGCCAGTACCAGGCTGTTTTGATTATAATAGCTTTGTAGTATAATTTACTATCTAGTATTGTGATCCTTTCAACTTTGTTCTTCTTTCTCAAGATATCTTCAGCTATCCGGGGTCACATAAATTTTTGGATTATTTGTTCTAGATCTGTGAAATATGCCATTGGTATTTTAATAGGGATGGCACTGAATATATAGATTGCTTTGGGTAGTATGGACATTTTAATGATGGTAATTCTTCCAGTCCATGAACACTGAATATGCTTCCACTTGTTTGTATCTTCCTCTATTTCTTTTTCCAATGTCCTATAGTTTTCTGAATACAGGTCTTTACCTCCTTAGTTAAGTTTATTCCCAGGTATCTTACTGTTTTTGTTGCAACGGTAATGGAATTTTTTTTTTTAGTTTCTTTTTCTGTGAGGTCATTATTGGTGTGTAAAACTGCAATTGATTTCTGGATGTTAATTTTGCATCCTGTTACTTTGCCAAATTCATTTAACTCTAGCAGTTTCTTGTTGGAGTCTTCAGGGCTTTCTATGTACAATATCATATCATCTGTGAATAATGAGAGTTTTAATTCCTCCTTTCCAATATTGATGCCTTTTATTTTTTTCTTCTTGTCTGAACACTGTGGCAAGGACTTCCAGTACTATGTTGAATAAGAATGGTGAAAATGAACATCCCTGTCTTGTTCCTATTCTTAAGAGAAACGCTGTTAGTTTTTGCCCATTATGATGTAGGCTTTAGGTTTGTCATATATGGACTTTACTATTTTTATGTATGACCCCTCTATTCCCACTTTGCTGAGAGTTTTTATCAAAAAATGGATGCTAGATTTTGTTGAATATTTTTTCTGCATCTACTGATACGATCATGTGATTTTTATTCTTCATTTTGTTTATGTGATAAAACTGGTGCATTTTTTAGTCAGTGGGGTCCCAGATATGATAATAATGCAGATATGTATGTATGAATAATTTTATTCCAATATTTTCTGGAAACTATCTATCTCTGTCTCCAACCTATAGCATAAGGGTTGTCTAGAGCATTCTATCTACTTTTCTCTAGTTAGGCTGTTGGGGAGGATGAGATATATATAATAGACTTTGTAGAAAAATGTAAGTCCTGCTTTTCTATGATAATGTATTTTACTGTATTAAGTCAGAGTGGTAAGGGAAGGAACTATGAAAACATTCCGGGGCTTCAATTTATCCCCTATTTTTGTGAGGAGCCTGAAGCTACAGTTCTGTCACAGTGAACTCTAGATATTTTTCCTACCATTCCACCCATCTCTTCCAAATAGAATTATTTTTTAAAGATCTATAGGCTTTAATTAAGTGATTCATGAATCGGGCAACAACCCCCCTAGCACCTTAAAAGGTATTCCAAAATAATTTTTTTAAATATGTTATTAATTTTTTTTTTTTTTTTTTTAGTCCTCACCCGAGGACAGTTTTTGATATTTTGTTCAGATAGAGTGGGAGGGGGAGAGAGAGAGAGAAATATCGACGTGAAAGAGACACATCGAGCAGTTGCCACCCACACAACCCAACCAGGGCCGGGGACAAACTGCAACCGAGGTACATGCCCTTATAGCGGGAACCGAACCCAGGTCTCTCCGGACTGCAGGCCGACGCCCTAACCGCTGAGCCAAACTGGCCAGGGCGTTATTGATATTTTAGAGAGAGAGAGAGAGAAACACAGATGTGAGAGAGACACATCGATGGGCTGCCTCCTGCATGCCGCCCAGTAGGAATCAAGCCCGCAACCCGGGCATGTGCCCTGACTGGGAATAAAACTGGAACTCAAACCAGGACCTCTCAAACTATGAGACAACACTCAATACACTGAGCCACACCAGCCAGATGAAAATAAATCTTTTTTTAATGAGCATCTGCTGAGTACAGGTTTGAGATGTCCACTGCAAGATTGCTTATGATAATGACAAACTACAATCAAAATATTTATCAGTAGGGGGATGATAAAATAAATGCAATACATCAATACTGCAAAACATCAAGAAGAAGAAAATATACTAAAAAGTAATTATTTTTAAAAGCGCAAGATACACTCACTTTTATTTATTTTATCCTCACCCAAGGACATTTTTGCATTATCTTCAGATAGAGCGGGAGGAAGAGAGGAAAGAAGAGAGAGAGAGAGAAACATCGACGTGAGAGAGACACATCCACTGGTTGCCACCCACACGACGCCATCTGGGGCCAGAGACAAACTGCAACCAAGGTATGTACCCTTAGCGGAAACAGAACCCAGGTCTCTCTGGTCCAACGCTCTAACCGCGGAGCAAAACTGGACAGCGCTACACTCACTTTTAAACAAAAAGAAAGGAACTCACAGAACAAAATGTAGACTATGCCATTTTTATAAAAATGCAAAAACACATAGAAAAACCTAGATAAAAACATACCAGTTACTCACCTATTAACTATTAGTAAGGTAAAAGTAAACTACATTGTTATTCTATAATCCTCCATGCTGTTAGAGTTTCTTTTATAAAATATATATATTTATGTATTATTTTTATAATTAAAAAACTATTCAAACATTTATCTGGTTAAAAATAATAATAATGTTACTCTTTTGTAAACTAGAAAATTTCAAGAAGAGTGCACACATTATCAAAATAATGGCTATTCGCTTTTGCATTTCAAAGTCCTCAAATAAACCACTCAAATACAAATATTATTACAGCCCTTAGGGTTTAACAGCTACTTTCATAAACTTGTACAGTTAGTAACAAACTTACGACTGAATTCCCAATGGAAATTCCTGGCTCATGGCTATCGTGGCTTTAAATGTTTTCTTACTCTCTTTGCACACCAGTTCTCTACCAAGATGAGGAGCTCTAAAATGGAAAAAAAATATATATACATATATATATATTAGTAAACTTCTTCCATGTGTTGTGATGTTCCTAAGAATCTGTTGTCTTCCAATGACACTTATTAATATTTCAAATTTTGTTACTCTGAGCACAGAAATAAATTAAAATTGTGCCATAAGGAAATGAGACATATATAAGAAATAAGATAAGGATAACAAAGTACAAAAGTTCAGAAAAAATGATCAAACTGAACAATTTTCACATTGACTATAATTTTAATAATCACTTTTAGGAATAAAGCAAATCACAAAAACTTTATAATATCACTGTGTATCTTTAAAATCATTTATTGTGCCCTGGCTGGTTTGGCTCAGCAATTAGAGTGTCAGCCCTTGGACTGAAGAGTCAAGGGTTAGATTCCTGGTCAAGGCAACCAAATGATATGTTTCACTCACACTGATGGTTTTTTTTTTTTTCTCTCTCTCTCTCTACATCCCACTCCCTTCAAATCTATCTAAAAAATCAGTGGAGCCCAGCTGGTGTGTCTCGGTTGAGCGTCAACCCATGCACCAAGAGGAAGCCAATTCAATTCCCGGTCAGGATACATGCCCAGGTGGTGGGCCTGGTCCCCAGTGTAGGCATGCAGGAGGCAGCCAATCAGTGTTCTCTCTCATCGATGTTTCTCTCTCTCTCTCCCTCTCCCTTCCTCTCTCTCTAAAATCAATAAAGAAAAAAAAAATTTTTTAATGAAATCAATGGAAAAATATCCTCAGGTGAGGATTAACAAAATAAATATATAAAATTACTTATTCAATTCAACCTTTTACTCGCTACAGTTCTCAGCACTGATCAATAAGAAATGATGTGAAGAATAAAAATTCTATATTAACTGTAGAATGAACACTGTATGATGGAAACATTTTTGAAAAGTTAGAAAAGTGTAATAAACTGTTCAACAAAAAATAATAATAATTATTACAACTTCTCCTGAAGTATAGGGGCAGGCAATATTTTATTCTCTGTCAAAAGAAAACAGTGTTTTGCCCTGGCCGGTTTGGCTCAGCGGTTAGAGCGCCCGCCTGCGGTCCGGAGAGACCTGGGTTCGGTTCCCGCTAAGGGCATGTACCTTGGTTGCAGTTTGTCCCCGGCCCTGGTTGGTCGTGCGGGTGGCAGCCACTTGATGTGTCCCTTTCACATCGATGTTTCCCTCTCTCTCTCTCCCTCCCACTCTGTACAAAAAATGGAAAAATGTCCTCGGGTGAGGATAAAAAAAAAAAGAAAACAGTGTTTCTATAAAGGATTATACTTTATTTCACATGGTTGATTCATTCAAAATATTTGTCATTCATCATTCTTTTATTCAATAAATATTTGCTGAATGTAAACCATGTGCTAGGTACTCCACTAAGTATTAGTAATATAACATTAAGCAAATGTCTTATGTAAGAATGGTGAGAAATAGTCTGGTATAAGCTAAAACACAGGAATAATGACAGATGAGCTTAGAAAAACAAAAAGTAAATAAATAGTGAATGGCCTTACATACCATGCTAAAAACTCAGGATAATGACAGAACATAAAATTTACCATAAATTGAACTCAAATAAACAATGGCAGTGGGAAATTCTTCACATCATATTTCCTTAGAACAATGTGCTATAGCATTTTTAGTGAATGTAAGTTGGCAGCAGGGGTGTAAAACAAAAGCTCTGCAACTTACTCAAAGAATGTACATAACTGGGGATACTTCCCCCTCGTCATTCTAGTCCATATTTTTAAAGGTAAAAGAATTGCTTCAGACAAAACCACTAATAATTCTCTCTAAAACAACATTACACCTAGATAGTCATGTGTTTTTACAAATTGTTCTTTTTAAAAACCAAATAATACAAAATAAACAAACAAACAAAAAAACACTTACTTTCCATTTTCAGCAGATATATACTCTTCCCACGTAATAGTGTTCTGAGGAGGAGGCGTAAGGGACTGTCTTCGAACCGGCTGCCAAAAAGAAATAAGAAAATAAAGAAAGAGGGAGAGAGACAGAGGCAAACACAGAGTATGAGAGGCAGAGAGAGAAGGAAAGACCAAAAAAATGACATTTTTAAAAACATACATTAAACTACTGAACTGTTTAATCTTCAACATGATGCTTTAAGAGTTTGCTTCCAAAATAGTTCCATGGCAATATAAACTCTATCATTAATATTTATTATCAATTTTTTTCTAAATCTCAATGTAGAGGGTAAGTTATCAAAGTAATAAAATCCATTCATTCAATGTTTTAATCATCTAAAATGTTCCTGGCATTATGCTAGAAAGTGAACATGGAAACTACAGAGAAGTATAAAAACTAACCCTGACTTCAAAGAGTTTACAATTCAAAGAAAAAAACACATATGAACAGTTAATCAAAAACACAAAATATTATATGATTAAAGGCCAAATGAGCTTACAAAAAAAAAAGAGAAGTGCAGGATTTCAGAAAAGAGCAATCTTCTATGGATAATAATTTCAGACTAGGGGATTGGGGCTCAGACTTACATGAAAGTCAAACACAGGTAGATTGTTTATTTCACCAACAACACTGGTAAAAGGTCATGCAGATTTTTAAACTTATACCTTGTCTTGGTTAAACATGCCTTTGGATCACTATAGGGAAGCAATATACTTAGAGGAAGAACAGCTTGGGGTAAGAATCAAAACCCATCTTTGCTACTTCTAGCTTTATAACTTTAGATAGATTCATTTCTTTAAACCTCATTTTCCTTTCTGTAAAGTAGAGCATGACACTCATCTCATGAGATCACTGTAATAATTAAATGAGATGATAAATGAAAAATACTTAACACAACGCCCATGTTAACAACAACTCCAATGTTTTAAACCAACATAAATAAAAAAGAAAACTTATTGAGGTGCACATAAAATCAGTTTTTAACCTGCAGAAGCTGGATTTGAATTTATGGCACTCAATTCAGATTAGGCCACTGGAGAATCCTTTGTTACTCCCCATATAATGTTTTATTATAATCATCACTAATTAAACTACATATATTTGAGTAACTAACCTATGTTTATGTGACGTACAAGTTAACATAAATACTGATTTCCACACTCAATTCATTTTTATATTACCAGCTATGACCAAGCAGCCATTAACTTTCAATACTGGTATATAATTAATATGTTTTTTAAAACTTTATTAAGATTTTAAATACAGTTCACCATTAAAATGGGATTGTCTCCTGAATTTGGTATGTTCCCTCCCTTTACTCTTTTGACCACCTATTTTTAAACTGTGCATGTTAATTTATATGTACTTTTCCTAAAAGCTTATTATTTAAGTTTAAAAGAACTGCTTTCCTAAAATTATCTATACAACACATACAAATAATTCTTTTTTCCTTTAATGCCCACGGTGAAATATAATTAAACTGGTTCTAAGCTGCTTTCCCTGTATTTGTAAATTGTGTATCTAGGAGAAAAAAAAACAAGACAACTATTTGTATCCTTGTTATAATTAGACACAAATTCTGTTTTGATATTCTTTCATCCTGCACTTTGCCAGATTCAACCAAATCAAATTATACATACAGATAAATATCTGATAGAATTAATACTTTCATTTTGAATTTTTTTTTTCTTCACTGATTTTAGAGAGAGAGGGAGGAGAAAACATCAGTGAGAGAGAACATCGATTGGCTGCCTCCTGCACACCCCAAAATGGGGATTGGGCTCACAACCTGGGCATGTATCCTGACTGGGAATCAAACTTGGTACCCTCTTGGTGCATGGGTGCTCAACCACTGAGCCACACCTACTGGGCTAGAATTAATATTTTCTTTAAATTTCTTCTATTTATAATTGAACTCTAATATGATTCTCAAATATAATTAATCAGTTCTTCCCTATCAAAAGTCCAAACAATATATGAGGTATATTTTTATTCTAAAACAATTAAAAATATAATCTTAAAAGTATTATAGAACTAAGAAATAACTATATAGACATGGTTCTTCATAAATCTTAATAAAGTACTTATGGTAGATTAAAAAATAATATAATGATTTTTTTAAATTTAACAATGAATTTTTTTTAAATGCCTTCTAAGATCAGGAAAAATGCATAACACCTGCTCTCCTTACTTTTATTCATCATTATATTGGTATTACTTCCCAGAGCAATAAGGCACAAAATAAATAAAAATAATAATAAAAGGCACAATAGATTAGCAAGGAAAAGGGATAACTATCTCTATTACCTGATGACATAATCATCTGTGTAAAATCCTAAGGAATCTACAAAGACCTATATAAGTAATATATTCATTTAGCAATACAGAAAATTTTCATGTATTTCTATATATTAGCAATGAACAATTGGAAAAGAAATTTTAAAACATCATTTATGATGGCATTAAAAATACAAAAATACTTAAGAGATAAATTTAGTAAGATCTCTGTAAGACTTGTATAGTGAAAACTAAAACATTTCTAAGAGAAACTATATAATATCTAAATAATGGAGATATGTACCATGTTCACAAAACAGATGACTCAATATCTTTCAGATATCAACTCTCCCCACATTAATCTACGTACTCAACACCACTGCAATAAAAATTCCAAGAGGCAACTCAATGGAGAAAGGGGAGCCCCTTCTCCATTCGTGCTAGTTCAATAGGACATCCAAAGCAAAAAATAATAGTAAGCCTTGACTTAAATAGCACACCTTATACAAAACTAAAACTAACTGATTCATGTACTTAAATATAAAATACAAAAGTACAAGAGGATTTTTAAGAAATAAATAAAAGAAAAATTTAGGGACCTGGAGCTAGACAAAGAGTTCTCAGACTTGGCACAAACCATAAAACAAAAATTGTTAAATTGGATCTCATCAAAATTAAAAACTTATCCTCTGGGGGGGGGGGGGGCTGTTTACAAGGATGAAAAGATAAGCTACACTGAGAAAAATATTTGCAAAACACACATCTGACAAAGAACTAGTAACTAGAGTACATCAACAACTTTGAAAATGCAACAAAAACTCCAATAAAAAATTAGCAAAAGGCATGAACTGATATTTCATCAAACAAGATATATAGATGGCAAATACGCACATGAAGAGATGATGAGTCAACATCATTAGCCATTAGGAAAATGCATTAGAGCACATGAAATAGCACTATACACTACCTTTTATGGACTGAATGTTTGTGTCCCTCCAAAATTCATGTGTTGAAGTGCAAAACCCTCAATGTGATGATGTCTGCAGGTAGATCCTTTGGGTGGTAATCAGGCTATATGAAGTCAGAAAGTGGGACCTCATAATGGGATTAGTGTCCTTAAAAGGTGAGTAAGGGAAGACAGAACAGAGCACTCTCCCCGATGTGAGAACATAAAGAAAGCAGCCATTTTCAAGCCTATAAGAAAGCCCTCACCTGGGAAGCAAATATGCCAGCATTAAGACCTTGCATTTCCCAGCCTCCAGAACTGTGAGATATAAATTCCTATTTTTTAAGCCACCAAGTCAACAGCATTTTCCGATGGCATCCCAAGCTAATACTATCAGAATGGGTAAAAGAAAAATTGTGACAATAGCAAGTGTTTGCAAGGATTCAGAGAAAGAATCACTCATACTCTGCTTGTGGGAATATAAAATGGAAAACATAATGACAGTTCCTTACAAAACTAAACATTCAGCTACCAGGTAACCCAGCAACTCCACTCAGACCTGGCTGAGTAGAGCATCTGTTCTTCTTTTTTAAGGATGTAAACTCTATTAGCAAGGAAGCTCTAAAAGGACCAGAGCAAGAATGGGATCTGAGGGTGGACATTCCAGAGACCTGTATGGACAGTACAAAGAGGGGGCAGGGACTATCCTCCCCAGCCATCAGGGCAATGAGATACACAGGGTCCCAGGGCGTAGCCCCAAGGGTCCTCCTTATCCATATACCACTTGAGTACATTCAAGCAGCCAGCTTCATGCATTTCCAAAGGTATCATTTATCCCAAAGAAATGAAGACCTCTGTTCACACAAAAATCTGTATGTGAATGTTATGGCAACTTTACTCATAATGGCCAAAAACTGAAAACAATCCAAATGTCTTTCAACAGGTACATGCTTAAGCAATCTGTGGTACATTCATACCATGAAATAATGCTCAGCAATAAAAGGAACAAACTTTTGACATACACAACTTGAATAAATTACCAGGGAGTTAACCTGAGTGAATAAAGAGCCAATCTCAAAGAGTTAACATACAATATACTTGAAATGACAAAATTAAAGAAATGGAAGAACAGATTAGTGGAGGGGACAGAGAGGGGCAAAAGAGCAGTAGGTGTGCTTATAAAAGAGAAACAGAAGGGATCCTGCAGTGATGAAAATGTTCTGTATCTTGACTATAAATGACAATGTCCTGGTTGTAATATTATACTACAGTTTTATAAGATGTTACCATTGGAGGAAACTGAGTGAGTCATACATGGTATCTTCCTGTATTCTATCTATGTATGTAAACCTATAATTATCTCAAAATAAAAAGTTGAATAAACAAAAATCAATCATTTATGTATAAATCAATCTACAGATTCAACTCCTTCCTAATCAAAATCCCACCAAGTGTTTTATCTTTCATAGAAATTGACAAGTTGATATAAATATTCATCGAAAACTGTAAAATTCAAGGGGCTATGATTCACATAGGAAGTGTATTCTTTGATTTCTGATCAGAAGTTGAAAAATTATTTAACCCATATTACTTTGTTCTATTATATAGATATCTAAAATTAAACTATGTCTTAATATCAATGTGCAAAACTATAGCTTAAAATGCCATCTAAAGACACCTTTAACAATTCAAGTCCATCAAGTTACAATCTCTGTCCTAAACAAAATTAAGTTGTATACTGTAAATTTAAATACAGATTAATCAGAAAATCAGAGACAATCGATCAATGGTCCATGAAATGCTATTATAAAGTTTCTTTCCCTGTACTCATCCCAAAATAGCTTGCTGCCAAAATTAAACAAAGGTAGCAATAGCCACCACAACAAAACCATTTTTTTGAAAAAACTCATTAAAACTTAAATCACAATATAAGTCCAAAGAAATGGCCTTTTTGTCTGGTTAACAATGGGCGAGGAAGCGGCTCTGTCAAAAATTTAGCTCAGCATTTCCTCTCTCAATTCATTTCTATTTCCTGAGCATATCATGTCCCATATTTCCTACTGATCAAGATGTCAGTCAGTAAATACCATGTGGCTTCTGAAAAGTGAAGTCTGGTGAAGCTCTACTCTATCCCAAAGCCAAAAGCAAAATAAGGATCTGGTGGAAAGGAAAAAGGATCACAGTAAACTAGCATGATCACAATTTTAACTTAAACATTCATTGAAAGGGGATTCTCAAACACTTTACATCCTGTACTGATTTCATTGAACTATGGCTGATTTACTCAACATATGAACTTTTTAAACATTATTTTCCTGGCACACACACACAGTATAGTATTACCATGAATTAGTTGGAATCTGGCACATTATTCTGAAAAGTCTGTCTATCCCTTAAACATAATCTGGCACTGTACCATAGGGGAGAGAAAAGATTCAAGGAACTCAAACCTCCTCATAGTAGCTTTTAATCGTTTTACAAATGTGACTCTCATTTTATACCACAACCCAGCACTCATACCTATATATATTTACACAACACATATACCTTAAAACTATTGTTTCATAAAGTAATAACTCATACTGTGTGTGATGTGCTCTAGTGTTTCTCTATCTTTATTTAGATTTGAATTTTTTTTTCCTTTATTAATTCGAGAGAGAGAGAGAGGAACTGAGAGAAAGGAAAAGAAACATTGATGACAGAGAACACTGATTGGCCACCTCCTGCATGCCCCCACTGGGGATCGGGCCCACAACCTGAGCATGTATCCTGACCAGGAATTGAATCAGTGACCTCTTGGTACATGGGTCAACGCTCAACCACTGAGCCACACCGGCCAGACTGAATTTTTTTTAAAGAGTGGTCACAACCCACTAAAATGGATTTAATCATTTACTAAGAGGTTCCTATCCTACAATTTGAAAACTACTGCTTTAAAATTTAGTAAAATGTTAACATTTGAGGAATCTTGATGGATAACTAAAAATTTGTGAACTATTTTAGTACTTTTTTGTAAGTCTAAAATTGTCAAAATAAAAAAATAAATTTAAGAATCCATCCTTCATCTTGTTAGGGAATAAAACTGCAGAGGTGCCCTGGCCAGTTCAGCTCAGCAGTTAGAGCGTCAGCCCGCGGACCAGAGAGTCCTGGGTTCGGTTCTTGCTAAGGGCACGTACCTCAGTGGCAGTTTGTCCCTAACCCCAATAGGGGTCATGTAAGTGGCAACCAGTCGATGTATTTTCTCTCATATCGATGTTTCTCTCTCTTCCTCCCTCTTTCCCTCCAGCTCTATCTGAAGAAAAAAAAAAGATTGCAGAGGCCGTTAACATCTCATATACCTTTGTATTTCCTAATTTCCCCTCCCCTGCTTCTACTGTCACACAATTCTTTGCATATAAAATGCTTTCAACAAACACATGCCGAATGAAAATGTATGGGGCCCTGGCTGGTGTGGCTCAGTTGGTTGGGCGTCCTTCTGTGCACTGAAAGGTTACTGGTTCAATTCTTGGTCAAAGGTACATGCCTGGGTTACAGGCTCGATGCTAGAAATAATTTCATAAAATAAATGTACCTTTACTTAAGCCTTCAAAGCATGATTTCACTTGGTGAAGTAGCAAAAAAGAATATATGCAAAGGGACATAGATTAAAAAGTAACACTGGGACCTGGCCAGTTTGGTTCAGCGGTTACAGTGACAGCCCTCAGACGGTCACAAGTTCAATTCCCAGTCAAGGGCATGTACCTGGGATGCAGGTTCAATCCCGGGTCCCAGTTAGGATCATGAGGCAACCAATCGATGTGTCTCTCTCATATCTATGTCTGTCTGTCTGTCTGTCTGTCTGTCTCTCTCTCTCTCCCCTCACCACCCTCCTTTCTTTCCACTCTATCTAAAAATTAATGGAAAAATATCCTCAGGTGAGGATTAACAAAACAATAACAACAAAAATAACACTGGGTTTTACTCTTATAAAATGGTTTAATCTGTTAGTGACGCCTCAAAGACCAAGAACAGATTCACAAAAAAAGTCACCAAAGGCTATATCCAAAGAAAAAACAAAAGCTGTATGTAGTAAACAAAACCTACAAGCGTACTTATATAAACTCACTAATGCCAGGAATGAAGTCTACCTCCTCTCTCCTTAGAACATTATAATCTATAAGTGAAAATTATACCTCAAAATTCTGTTCCATTATGTTTCCGCCTTTACTTAGACTCTCCATAATGGCCTTATTTCGAAGAATATCTTCTTCACTGAGATGTTCTCTTCTTTTTCTTGATTCTAAAACAAGTCCATTCACCAAATAAAAGTCTGCCAAAAAGTTTCCTACTCTTTCCTAAAACAAAATCACATATTTCAAAATAATAAAAAAAAATTAAGTTTGCCTTAGATTAAAAAGAAAGTTTCAAAAGTAATATACATATACCTGTTTTTCCATAAACATGCATCATTAAGGTATAAATATAAATATTCCTTTGGTACTTGAAATTATCTAATTATCTTATGCATTCTATTAAGTTAAAAAAAATATAAAACCACAGATTTAAATTTGTAAAGAAAAACTTAAAATGCACAGATGTATGGCAGTTAGTCTGCAAATGAATTAAATTTAAATAAAAATACCACATACTATTCCTTTAGAATCTACTCCCAAGTAGCACAATGCTATCTGAAAACTTTATTTAGCTGAGAGTCAAACATCAAGAGTAACAAGGAGGGGTCAAGGATAATTACTGTTCCCATTTTATAGATAGAAAAGAAAGTAGAATAAAAAGAAATAGTCTAAGTCACATAGAAATCTCTAGTACAACTAGAATTACCTGTTCCAATATTCTGTTCTCTAACAGGATCAAACCTCAAGTTACAGTTGCTTCCTGCTTCCAGCAAAGAACAGAGCAGCCTAGCTTACCCATTACAATCATTTACATTAGGAATTGTGGATAGGGAAACTCAAGAGGTATAAGGGACATCAAGAAGAGAATTGCTATTTCCTTTCCATGAAGTCTTCCTTTAATATCAAACTTCACCCTTTTAACAGATCCAACAGGTGATCAGAGTTTGAAATGCTTTACTTCAAAAAACATGATGGAAAATAAGCTTCCCATTTCTACCTGCATGCAAATTCCTTGGTCTCCACCTTACTCCTGTGTCTAGCATTCTACACTATGTGTTTAGAGTTGTTTCCATATCCATCTTGCTTTTGGTGGCCTCCTTACCAATCACCAGAAAGCAAAGCATTCTGCACTTGTTTCTACCTACAAAATGGGAACTATAGGCATTACTGACTCCCTCCTTACCTGGCAAAGATTTAAGAAGATCACCTAGACGCTGTTCAAGAGCTTTGAGCTGCTTAGCAGTAGCATTAGATGAATAGCAGCTTCAATTTTTATCTTCTCTGGAAGTGATCCTTCTAATGCTGTCCAGAAGAACAGAGTACAAACAAATAAGACTGAAGCCAACAAAGGGACTGCAATGTAGGATCTCACAACAGGGAATCCTATAATGCTATTTGTTGCCAAATAGGCTGAGAGAGGAAAGCTGATCAGCCTATATTTAAAGTGAGGATTTTTCTGTGGTTGTGAAATACTCAAGTGATAATTATCAGTCTTTGAAATCCTATAGTAAAAAAACATTTATTAAAAGTAAGCTATCATAACAATAAAAATTTTAAGTGTATATTCCCTATAATTCAGCCATTTTATGTCTTGCTACCTGTAACAGACACTACAAAGGAATGTAAAAGAATGGTAAATGCAACATCATTAATAATGCAGAAAACTGAACACAAATGTGTGTCCACTCATCTAAATGTCCAAAATTAGAGACTAGATAAATAAATTACAATACACCCATACCACAGAATACTATGAAGTTGTTAAAAAGAATGAAGTAGCACTACTACTAAAAAAAAAAAACTCCTAAGACAGACTCAAGAGTGTGTGCATGTGTGTGTCAGGGAAGAAACAGTTGCATAACATAGGTATAACATGACACTTTATGAAAATATAAATATCAGCAACTAAAGCTACATATTACCATGGATACATATTTATGGAAAGCATTAAAAAGGTCTGAAGAAAATACAACTGGATAACCTTCTGCAAGGTGCTCTGGGACTGTGAGTAGTGGTTAAGAGGGACTTTTTAGCTTTATGTGGAAGGTTGTGTGGTGGTTAATTTTATGTCAACTTGGCAAGACTATGGTGCCCAATCCTTTGGTCAAACACAATCTAGATGTTTCAGTGAAGGTATTTTTTAGATGTGATTAACATTTAAATCAGACTTGGAGTACAGCAAATTACCCTCCATAGTGTGGGTAGACCTCATCTAATCAATTGTAGGCCTTAAGAGCAAAGTCTGTTTCCCAAAGGAAAAACAATTCTGCCTCAAAACTTTAACATAGAAACCCTACCTGAGATTCCAACTGCAGATTTCAGAATCAAGATCACATCAACTCTTCCCTGAATATCCAGCCTGCTGGACTGCTCTACAGATTTAAGACTTGCCAGTTCCTACATTCATATGAGCCAATTTCTTAAATCAGTCTCTCCCTACCCCTCTCTCCTCTTCTGTCTCTCTAAATATCTACTTATATGTCTACAGATCTCTATATCTCTATATCCATATATTTATATTTCTATATGTATATAGGTAGATATATAAAGAGAGAAAGATCTCTAATTGTTTTTATTTCTCAGAGAACCCTGACTATTAATATAGGCTGTTTTTGTTTTTCCAGTAACAATATATTAATTTCTAATGTGTATAATATAAGATAATTTTTAAAAGCAGTAGGTCCTGCCCCTTATCTAATCTGGTTGCTTATTCTTGACTATAAAATTTTATAAAATGCTTCTTCATGTGTCTAATTTAAATTTTTTTGAGTATATTATAAACATGTTTAAAATTGTTTTATTGACTGATTTGAAAGAGAAAGAGGAAGAGAAGTAGGGAAGGAGGAAGAGAGAGAGAAACATCGATTGGTTGTTCCACTTATTTATGCATTCACTGGTTGCTTCTGGTATGTGCTCTGACCAGAGATCAAATCTGCAACCTTAGCATACTGGGATGATGCTCTAACCAGCTGACCTTCCAGGGCAGGGCTTGAACATTCTTATATAACCTCTTGCTGAAAGATGAAATGGTAATTGTAGAAAAAATTTACAATTCACTAAGAAAAATCTCCACTGAAATTTAATTTAATAACAGTATTGTAGAAATATAAGCATATTTAATTTTAGTCATATATAAGGAATACTGAGAAATAGATACTGGATGAGTAAATAGTTTAGAAGTCTACAAGTAGGAAGAAAAAGGGTCCAAGGAAATGAATTCAAGGTATCCCTCTTTGCAGTCTTCCTTAGGAATAAAACACTAGGAATATAATGGAACCATGGGAGGACACCGTTCCTTGTATAATAACAAGGCAGCTGACAACAAGAATCTTTCCCAACATAGAATTCAAATAAGCTAAACTTTCTCTCCTGGCTTCTGTAAGAATATTTTCCAAATCTGTAACCAAACATTGTCATTCCATACATGGAGGCAAAGAGGAGAGAATAAACTACTTGAAGACAATTCAGAAAGCTACTTCTTCCCATCACATTATTTTGGCAACATTAAATACTAAACAATCTGTGAAGTTTAAAAATCTATATTTGTACATACTGTTTTATCTTCCCGAAAAAGCCATCCTGTTTGGGCACGTGTGAAAGAAATTGATTTGGTTGATAGAGTTGCAGAGTAAATATCACTACTCATTAAAATGTCAACCTCTTCTTCTGTTTCCATCTCCGATTCCTACGGTGGGGGTAAAAGTTAAATATAAGACCCAGGTTTTCAAAGGTTATTGGCATGACATATGAAAATAACAAAATGTTATAAATTTTTAAAAAGAAAACAGTTCTAAAAAATATGAAGTGCTACCTATTCTAAAAACAATTACAGAACTTTAAACTATATATAACTAAATAAGTTAGAATTATGACGAATTATAAATCTATAAATACAGGACACATGAAATACAGCACTCTTACACTGTTGTTACAGATAATGTAATGGAAACAATACTAGATTACCCATTACAGAAATACAGAGTATGTACAACAATTATTTTAATTACTTAAAGAATTAAGTTGACAGGCGTGAGACAAAATGCCCATATGAAGGTTTCATTTTCTTTCAACACAGAAGAATTTTACTTCAGTTCTTTTTAATCTAAAGACCCACCAATATCTTTTGAACCTTTGTTTTTCAATAGTTCAAAGTGGAAGGGGAAAAAAGGGGGGCGGGGGAGAAGTGGTAAGTAGGGGGGGAAGGTAAGCAGTCCAGAAGGGATCTTCTTTATACATCTTGTAGAAAGAAATCCATAAATATCAACCTCTAATTTCTAAACTTAATAAGTTGTCTTACTTCAGGTTTTATTCTCTGCATATTCTCCAGTGTTGGCACACAATAAGTGATCAATAATCATTTTTTAAATGAGAAAAAAGAAAAGATTTGTGCTTGTTTCAGGAACAGGAGTCTACGTGATCAGGTACAGAAGAGTAAGTGAGCAGGTATAAGATGAAGTTCTAGTCTTTACTAGGCCAAGAGAGAATCTCTAATACTTAGGATCAGAGAGTCTTAAGGGGGGGGGGGGGGAAGAGAAAAAACAAAAACAAAAAAACCATAGAACCTAGAGAGTTGACTAGAGAATGAGAAGTGTCCACAAGTTTACAATAGCTAGAGGCTTTATTTCCCATACCTCCTTATTTCTATATTACCAAGAGGCCCATTTCTATTCTTCACCATCAAACTTTCACCCAGATGTAGTCCACTCCTGGCATTCCAGAAAATGGGAACAAAGAAATAAAGTGCTAAATAGCCTAGCATACCTGAAAAGTTGCAAAGAACCAGTAATAGGGTATATAAGTTTAAAATAAATTAATTAATAAAGGCAGGTTTCATGAATTTGTTTTCAATGTTCAATCTATCTCCAATATGTGAGATAATTTAGAAACAGACAAGATGGGGGCCAGGAAGATCAATTATGACACTTTTGATAGTCCAGTTGAAAGATAATGGATATCTAAATTAAGACATTAACACTATGAATAAAAAAAGGGATACTGATAAGACAAAAAGAGACAGAAATTACTACACATGATCTCTAATTAGGAAACATGGAGTACAAGAAAAGATGTCAAAAACAACTCCCAGTTTTCTGGCTGAACAGAGAATGATGTCATTCACCAAAAGAATGAAAATGGAAGAAACAGTAGGTTTCAGGGGGGAATAATAAGTTTATCTTTAGAGAAACTAAATTTTGAAGTTATCTGGGAGACATACATGATATCCCATTAGGCATTTGAATAGGCAGGTCTCTATTCAGAAGATTAATCTGGGATACAAACATGTACTTTGTGAATCATCAATCTATAGAAGGTAGGTAGAGCTGTGGAAATAGAAGAGATTATTCTGCTAGTCTGTAAAAATGAGAACCACATCAGAGGCAAATTAAAATTCAAGAGGTGAGTAGAGGAAAGGGAACAGGGAAAAGAGAACAGGACGTAAAGGGGGAAAGAACAACTGACCAAGGTCAAATCACAAAGAAATGAACATTTTAAGAACTGAGTTATCAATAATAGTAAATACTTCTGAGAAGTCTAATAAAAAGAGGGTTGAAACAAGTGCACTGATTTTAGCAATGGAGTCAAAAGAACATCATCCAAAACCCCAACCCTCTTTCCTTTTCCAAAAGCTCCAATTCTACCAGAGGAATCACTGTCATACCACTCTTTAAAACAAAATCACTACACTCACCTTTAAATCTTTCCAATTCTTAATTCACTCAATCTATTACCAAGTCCTATTATTTCTTTCTTGAAAATGTAAGTCATAATTTCTCTTTCTTAATTATTCACTACACCACCCTAGTAAAGAACCTCATCTCCTCGCAACTGCCATACAAACTTCTCCCATAATTTTCCTGCCTCTGATCTCTTCCTTTTCCAATCCATCCTGCACATCAGCTGTGTGATCTTGGAGATGTCATGTAACATCTATAAGGCTCAATTTTCTCATGTGTAAAATAAAGATAATAAAAGTATTTACTTTGACAGATTATTTAAGAACTTAATGAGAAGTACTTTTAATTAAAGTACTTAAATAATCCAATATGCTGGTAATTAATGCTTAATATAATACTAATATGATAGTAATAGATATATACTATTAATATAGTACCACTATCCAAAGCATCTACCACTATCCAAAACATTTACTAGGTCCTTAATGAATGTTTAAGAAAAGAAGAGAAGAAAGGAGGGAAAGTGGAAGAAATATGAAGATTAATTCACTTAAATTACTTTTGGATTATATCAATACCTTGTTTAAGAATCTATGACTCTGTTACCAACTACAATAATTCCTAAATTATCTTTCTGGCCTTTAAGGCCTGCACTGTACTCAGATCTCTTTTCTATTTCCCCAAAAGATCATTCTTATTCCCACTTCCCTGACTTTACTCACCCTGTGTGCTCCACAATGAATACTTTCTCCTCTTCCAATCTAAATCTTCATTGTTCAGTGCCAGTTAGGAAACTACTTTTCAATAGTACACGTACAAGGTAACTAAGGTCTCATCAACAGATATGGTAGTAGGAAGGTCTAATCTAAGAGATGTTGAGAAAGGAACCGTAAGATGTGGTGAATGACAATATGGGAAAATGAAGTGGTGAAAATTAAAACAACAGTGACAAAACAAAATGCTAAGGAAATTTCATAGGCCTATCAATGACATAGAGATACTAGAACAGCTCTGTCTCTAAGAGCAGGAAAAGGGGCATTCAGAGAACAAAGAATGAGGATCATGATGTATATAGTTCTCATTGATGGCTGTGGAGGCAATACAAAGATGGATTTCTGATGTGACAGAAGGAAGGTAATTTTGTACTCTAAGAAAGAAAAGAAAAAAGAAAAGCAGTCAGAGTGAAGAAAAGAGTACAGACAGCGAATCAAAATAAATTTTCATAATAAGGAGACAGAGGTGGTCAGCAACATTTTAAAAGAAGCTAAGGTTGGAAGATAATAAATGGTGAAAGGGCCAGCACAGGTCCAACAAATGAGAACTAAGAGGAAATGGAGTTCATTTAACAGCAGATCATCAGTGAATTATGAGCAAACAGACTCAATGAATTGGTCAAGATGAAAATCAGATGATCATTTTTTTTTAAAGCGAGTAGTAAGAAAATGAAAGCTTTAAGATTGAACCATCCCAATTATACCTTATGCCTTTTAAAACAATTACACCAAAGCTTGGTTGCATACAAAGATATTTTTTAAAAACCATTTAGAGGAATGCTCACCTCATGGTGTATTCGTTGATAAACTTTTTGTTCATTGTCTAATACTACAAAAGATTCAGAGGGTGCTGCATCCCCATTGAAAATGAAGCTTAAATCCCCTCGTTGGCACTTCATGTCAGTAAAGTCTATGAGAGTAGTGTCAAGCCTGTGAAAGATGAGTAGATGAGAAATTCTGACAAATAAATTTCAATAAAACTCCATAATAATAAACAAACTTTGTTCCTTCTAAATTCAAATCAAGATACTAATACCATATTTCAAAATCAAATTTAGAGATAAGAGCTACATTTAAAATATATTATAAGAAATTTTTTAATGTATTCCATTTTACCTATATTTCATTTTTCTAAATATATACTTTATTGAAAGATTGTTTCCCCATTGTTGAAATACTGTACCCTTATTCCCTACCACTTTCCTTACTGTAGCTACTTCATAAAAGTTACATCTGGGAAGGGCAGAAGAAGAAAGCAGATCTGTCAAACACCCTTTGATTCCTTTAAGACCATGTTACTGGCTCATTGGAGCATTTAAGAGGGGTAAGGCAATGGATGTACCACATTCTTGGCCTTATGCTCTACATCTATGCCTTATGCCTAAACATCAGTTACCAAAATTTGCTTCATCCCTCCACTTGGTAACCGATTTAGCTTTAAATTCTTAGCCTTCTGTTTGGTTTCCTAGATTCAATTAGCATTCTCTTTTCCAACATCTCCACTGCCTAAAACTGTTATGGATCATTCTTGTGTTGAAAGCTCAGATTCACACTTCTGTGTTTATTGTGTTCTTTGGTAACCAAGACCTGGTATGGACTATCCCAATGAGTTTGTCTCAAATCAATTCCACAAATCACTACTTGCTGAAATTAGGGAGAATACTGGAATGGAAAAGTCCCAAAAAGTCCTTCAATTTTTGAAGGCTTTGTAGATCACATCAGAACCTCTCTGACTGGCTGCTCAAAACATACTCCTTAATCTAAGAAATGGGTTGACACATCTCTTACAAGTTGCTGATCATGCCCAAGGAAACACCTTTAAGCCTTTGTGAGATATTCAATCTGGCTACTGAGTTTCTACTGCAATTATAAGAATTCATTACTTTGTATGCTTTTTAGCTTTCACCTGGACAATGCAAAGTGAGTAGGCATTCCTGGTTTCCCTACACAGATAAAGCTGAGAAATGGAACATATCTGACATACTGCATCAAAAGAATAATTAAGGTTATATCACCAAACTAGTTACTTTTCAAAATGAAAGTGACACTATTAATAATTTTACCAGGACAACAGGGATGAAGCAGACCAAACAGGGAAGTCTGATTACCCTGTGTGCAAGGAGCTCTTTGTACATAAAATATACATATCCTTCAGAATGAAATCAAGAAGCACTAAAAAAGGCAAGTCACCAACTCCTGCATGGGTGAACCCTGTCTACTGCTTTATAGCCGAATTCTAGCTCCTGGTCTACTGCCAGTGGACTGCTATTGTACTACTAGTGCCTGCACTACTTAACATGTCCTGTTATTGCTTGTACATGTGCCATGAGAAAAAATAATACCAGTAAAAGGGGCTTATCCCCTACCTTTATAAGGTGTGGACTACTGATAGTAGTATCAAAAAGATACTGATCAGCCCTGGCCAGTGCGGCTCAGCTGGCTGGGCGTCATCCCATGCACCAAAAGGTTCCTGGTTTGATTCCAAGTCAGGGCACATGCCTGGGTTGCAGGCTCAATCTCCGGTGAGGGGTATACAGGAGGCAGCCAATAGATAGATGTTTCACTCTCGCATCAACGTCTCTCTCTCTCCCTCACTCTCCCCCTCTCCCTTCCTCCTCTCTAAAAATCAATAAAAATATTTTTTTTAAAAAGAAGAAACAGATCATTTTATGTAAGTGCCCTATTTGGACTTCAAGCTTCAGCTACCAGGGAAATCTACACCCAACAAAAAAGGGGGGCGGACAGAACAGTCTCTGCCTCCATTCCATTCTTGCTCATCCTGAAGGGGTAAAGGTGAAAATAGTGAGAAAAGAGAAACAAAGACAGACTGACATGCTGATACTTGAGCTCCTAGATGTAGTCACACCTAAAAGCAGTCACAATTTTTATTTCATCTGTGTTTTTATAATTTGCCATTGAAATAAGAATATCTAATACATCTGCAATATCCCTGACATATTAGATTGCCTCATAATAATAAAATTTGTTATGATGGTATTTAATGTATTAATTCCTTGCCTTTAAGCCTATGAACCTAAATATTTTTAATTTTTGCCATGTAATGACTATGAAGAACAAAAAATTATTCATACAAATGCAAAGCTTTAAACAGAAAATACTTTTTTTTTTTTATCCTCACCCGAGGATATTTTTCCATTTTTTGTACAGATAGAGTGGGAGGGAGAGAGAGGAAGGGAGAGAGAGAGAGAAACATCGACGTGAAGGGACACATCGAGTGGCTGCCACCCGCACGACCATCCAGGGCCGGGGACAAACTGCAACCGAAGTACGTGCCCTTAGCGGGAACCGAACCCGGGTCTCTCCGGACCACAGGCCGATGCTCTAACCGCTGAGCCAAACTGGCCAGGGCTAAATAGAAAATACTTTTTGAGATGAAAACTTGAAAAATGCCAAATAACACTGAAAAAGGAAATACAGCCTTCTCTTGAAACAGGAAAAGCCTGTCCTGGCCGGTTTAGCTCAGCAGTTAGAGCGTTGGCCTGTGGACCAGAGAGTCTCAGGTTCGGTTCCCGCTAAGGGCATGTACCTCGGTTGCAGTTTGTCCCCAGCCCCTGTTGGGGCCGTGTGGGTGGCAACCAGTCGATGTGTGTCTCTCATATCAATGTTTTTCTCTCTCTTCTCCCCTCTCTCCCTCCTGCTCTGTCTGAAGATAAATACAAAAATGTCCTCGAGTGAGGATAAAAAAAATAAAATAAAAAAAGAAACAGGAAAAGCCTGAAATAAGGCAAAGTTTGCAATGAACATTTCAGTCAGTGGGTAGAGATCACCTCAAATTATTAAAATTAAGAGTGAAAATGTTTATTTAGTATTTCCAACAATAAAGTTGCTCACACTTTCCTATTTCTACTAAAGTATTAATCTTTCCTTGATACCAGAGAAGATATTTTACATGATCAGATGGCTGTCATGACATACAAGTAAACTTTAAAGATTTCTTTGAACAGGCTTTAAAATTCAGCTTTATTTGAAGTGATGTTTTAAAAAGAACTATAATAGTCTCATGACATTTAAATTTGAAAGTTTTTATTTAATATTAACAGATTTTTTAAGTCAATTCTTATCATTTATGAAAAAAAAACCTTTACCAAGCACCCTAAAACCCAGCCTCTGCATCAATGTGGTTAAACTTTGGTAATGAGAGCTTTAGAACCTGCCACATTTCTCCTTTGTCCTTGCCTGCCGGTAAGTCCTAGTCCTGAGTGTTTTGTTACATTACAGTAGCTGCCCCTCAACCTATATTCTAAAATACCATGATTTTTCCTCAGGCTCTTATTCTCATGTCACTATTTCAACCATTTTGTCGTTTTATTATTTGTATTTATCCTATAACATTCATCATAAAATGTACTTCCCAAAGTTATAGTTAAATGTGAATCAATTTTTTAAAAAAAGAAAGATGCTCCTTTTTCCTATTTTTAAAAATCAAATAAAACTAAGTTTTATTTTTTTAAGTAGCACATGGAAGAAAATACTATTCTCCCAAATTACCTACTACCTTTGGCAAGCACCTATATTAAATATTTTTTAATTGATGAATAATTTTTTGATGAATCCATAATATATTGCTAACAACGGGCTGCTGAATTAAATCTACACCATTATCAAATCCTTTCCTAGTAACAAAAACAAATTAATAAAAATTAATAAAAAAATTATATATGATATATAAGCAAGAAGCAAATATAAAGGCAATCATAAAGAAATAAAGGCAAAAAAAAAAAAATCCTTTCCTAGCTTCTCTTCTATATTTTTCTGTATTTTCCAAGGTTTCTATAATTACCATGAATTTAATGTGCATGAGCACTATCATAATTAGAAATAACCGAGGAGGCATGTTTTAAAAACAAAAACCCAGAAACTTCTACTTTAATCAAATTCTACTGCTTGAGAATTACCCCAGAACTTACTTCCAGTTAAAGATTCTCTCTTTACTAGCATTCAACATATAACATAATGAATTTTATAAAGAGTTAATTTTTTTTTTTATCCTCACCCGAGGACATTCTTGCATTCATCTTCAGATAGAACGGGAGGGAGAAAGGGAGGGAGAGAGAGAGAAACATCGATGTGAGAGAGACACATCCACTGGCTGCCACCCACATGACCCCAACTGGGGCCAGGGACAAACCACAACTGAAATATGTGCCCTTAGTGGGAACCGAACCCAGGACTCTCTGGTCCACGGGCCGACGCTCTAACCACTGAGCCAAACCAGCCAGGGCAAGAGTTGATTTTTAAATTTTCGTCCTTGTGACATAGTGAGAACTGACAGAAAGTCCGAGGGCCTGCCTCAGCTATTAATTTACAATATGCTCCTGTAACAATCACTTCCCCTCTTTGAACTTTCTCATCTATAAAACAAACCAGTTATATGAAATAATATTTTAAGACAGTTCCAGTTATAGACTCCTATGTATAAAAATTAATATTCGGGATATGTATACAGATACATATATACATACATATATAAATAAGTTGGCATATTCACTAGCATTATATATAGCTTCCATATACTTAATTTATAAATATACCTATATTGGAATAATGAAAGTAAAATTCTGAAATGAGCAAAATAAATAGATTTCCCATAAGATCCAATCATTAATCTTAGTTTTAAAAGGAAACAGAAGAAAATTAAAATTACCCTTAAAGAATACACTAGAATAGATAAATGACTGAACAGATGAATGGGTTCGTGGACAGGTAGATAGGGAAGAGAAGGGTGTAAGAGTGATGCGGACAAAAGGACAAGAGTTAGGTCTTCCTTATGTGTCCCTTATTCCTTAAAAAGCCAGGATCAGGGAGATGAACATCTTAAATCTTCTTAGTATTACATCATGTTCTTCACTCTGTTTGCCTTCTAGATACTCTGTAGTTGAATAAGAATAATACCTTTGTTTTAGTCAAGAGTTTATGCCTTTGATTATCCGTAGTATGTCTCAAATGAGATAAAATATTGTGAATATATTAGAGCATGTTTAAGTTCTAAAATACTACATCCAAATGTAAGCTATAGGGGGAAAAAAAAGCTTCCTTTGAATCTCAAGTATCTGTTACTCGGGAAAAGAAAATCAAATCACCTTACCTGATATTGATACCTTGTTTATATATCTTACATGCATCAGAAGGCAGAATTCGGGAAAGTAAAGGCACTGTATTTTTTTAAAAAGAAAAGGTAAAAATTAATTAGAAGAGTAATGTGAACACATTATGAATTCATAAAAATTATCATAATTTCCTTTAAAATAGTATTTTCTCACTTAAAATAACATAGAGCAATTGTGAGCAACTTCAAGTATCTATTATTTAACTGTATTTGCTATATAGTTCACCACATTCTGTGCCACCGCTACTGCCCACCCACCAACAACACAGTAACAGAGTTGATATAATGTTACTTGTGGGTACATATTGCAGGACATTGTAATAGATGAGAAAACTATGCTCTATGGTAACTACACCTTCCTGAATGGGTAACTAGATGAACCTGAATTCTATCTGATCCTTTAAATATAATGTGATTAAATAGTAGAAAGTGATATGTATAACAGAAAAAGACATTTCTAAAGCTAAATAATTACATTTGAGTTTGAATCTCAAATATGTGACCTTGGTTACTTAGGCACACTGTACCTGTTTTAAAATCTATAAAATGGAATCATACTATTACCTGTAGATGTCTGTCTACATTCCAGTGTTGCTCACATTCATATTACAGCTATCTTTTGATCGTTTTTTATTATTATCGGCTATATTTTGGAGAAATGCGAGTTATTCTATGGATGGATAATATGCATAATAAGCTACCACATATCAAAAAAAAAAAAAAAAATGAAGCTAGAAATACCTAAAAGATCATATCAGACGTATATGTGAATGAGTGTGTGTGTGTGTGTGTGTGTGTGTGTGTAAAATATATTACAGGTATATTTTTTTAAACTCAGTGTTTAAAATGGATAATAAGCCCTGGCCGGTTTGGCTCAGCGGTTAGAGCGTCGGCCTGCGGTCCTGAGAGACCCGGGTTCGGTTCCCGCTAAGGGCATGTACCTCAGTTGCAGTTTGTCCCCGGCCCTGGTCGGTTGTGCGGGTGGCAGCCACTCGATGTGTCCCTTTCACGTCGATGTTTCTCTCTCTCTCTCTCTCTGTTCCTGTCTCTCCCTCCCACTCTACCTGAACAAAAAATGGAAAAATGTCCTCGGGTGAGGATAAAAAAAATAATAATAATAAAAAAATAAAATAAAATGGATAATAAGCCAACCTCAGTTAGAAAGAAACAAAAACTTCAGAGAAAATTAAAGACTAGTTTTTTAGTTAACTTTTTCAGAAGCATCAATATTTTCTACTTAACACTAAAGGTACACTTAATATATATTAATGTCTTTTTTAAATCATGAGAGGTTAGCCCTGGCTGGTTTGGATCACCGGTTAGAGTGCCAGCCAGTGGACTAGAGTTTCGGGTTTGAATCTGGTCAAGGGTATGTACTTAGGTTGTCATTTGTTTAGTCCTTGGTCCTGGTCTGGTCATGTGGGAAGCAATCAATCAATGTCTCTCTCTCTCTCTCTCTCTCTCTCTCTCTCTCTCTTTCTCACCCCTCCTCCCTTCCTCCCTCCCACTCTATCTAAAGATAAATGGAAAAATGTCCTCGGGTGAGGATTTAAAAGAAAAAAATCATGAGGTGATTTAATTCATAATGATTTCCAGCAATGAAGACAGTTTTCGACATTTTATTATATAAAAATAAGAAAAGCCTACTACCCAAAGAAAATGGAATACCAACTAGGAGTTACCCTAATAAAAAAATAGAGAAAAAAATTGCCCTGGCTGGTGTGCTGGTTAGAGCGGTTAGAGCACTGACCCACACACAGACACATGTGGGAGGCAACCAGTATCGATGTGTCTCTCTCATGTCAATGTCTCTCTCTCCCCCCCCCCCTTCTCCCTCCTTCCACTCTTTCTAAAAAATCAATGGAAAAAAATATCCTTGGGTGGGGATTAAAAATATACACACACACACACACACACACACACGAAATCACTTTCTGATAAAAAATTTCCTTATATGAAACAACAGAAGCTGATAAGAGCAATAATAGCATAAATTTATGTAAGTGATCAAAGATTTTCTCTCATGCTCATAAACTGAGATCCAGTCTTCCTGCCCTCAAGTATTTGATGTAGCATGAACAAGATGATTAGACAAAGATAGCACTCTAAATTAATTTAACTTAATTTATTACACCTTTTGAAGTAGTATGACCTACAATAACACAATTTAAAATCATATCCCAATATCCACTGATCAAACAAATCAGAAAAAGAATGCAGAGAGAAAATAAGAACCTTAAAAGCAATTTTTCATAAACACAATTTCAAAAATTATTTCATAAATAAATCCCAAGAAAATAATCTAATGCAGCAAATAAGAAAGTCACTTAAAATAAAACAAGGAGATGATGATGTTCTCAGTGGTTAGAGCATTGCTTGACACATGGAAGGGTCTCTGGTTTGATTCTAGGTCAAGGGCATGTACCAGGGTTGCAGGTTTGAACCCCGGCCCCTGGTGGTGAGGGGGGTTTGGGGGAGAGGCAACCAATCGATGTGTCTCTCTTACATCAATGTTTCTCTCTCCCTCCCTTCCTCCCTCCCTTCCACTCTCTCTAAAAATCAATGGAAAAAATATATATGCTTGGATTAGGATTAAATAAATAAAACAAGGAAAATGATGGAATATACTTGCAGTGATTGAAAATAATGTTTCTAAAGAGCATTTAAAGATGCTATATATGTTTATGTAAAATTTAAAAATCAGGATATAAAAAAAGAAGTAAAGATTTGGGAGATTGAGGGGGGAAAAAAACGCCAAAAAAAGGGGGGGGGAATTATCAAGTAAAAAAGATTTAATGCATAAAAGAATGTTATTAATGTTCTTTTTTTAACAATCAATACCATCTTTGTGTGTGTGTGTGTTTTATGGATTTTTTGAGAGAGAGAGATAGAAACATTTATGTGGCCCTGGCCAGTTTGGCTCTGCAGTTAGAGCACCAGCCTGCGGTTCCGAGAGACCTGGGTTTGGTTCCCGCTAAGGGCATGTACCTCGGGTGCTGTATGTCCCCGTCCCTCATTGGGTCATGTGGGTGGCAGCCACTCAATGTGTCCCTTTCACGTCGATGTTTCTCTCTCTCTCTCTCTCTCTCTCTTCCTCCCACTCTATCTGAACAGAAATATGGAAAAAAGTCCTCGGGTGAGGATAAAAAAAAGAAAGAAACGTTGATGTGACAGAGAAACATCGATTGGCTGCCTCCTGCACACCTCCCAATGGGGATCGAGCCCAAAACCTGGGGATGTGCCCTAACCAGGAATCGATAGGATCTCTCAGTTCATGGGAGGACGCTCAATCAATCCACTGAGCCACACAGGCCAAGCTATTAATGCATTCTAAAAATAGAGCAATTTACATTTTCCAATTCTGTAATGAGAGAAACATCGACATGAAGGGACACATTGAGTGGCTGCCACCCGCACGACCAACCAGGGCTGGGGACAAACTGCAACCAAAGTACGTGCCCTTAGCGGGAACCGAACCCGGGTCTCTCCGGACCGCAGGCCGACACTCTAACCGCTGAGCCAAACTGGCCAGGGCGCATTATATATCATTTAAAAGTCCTGGTGTACTAGACCACTGAGGTTTGTAGTAGCTTTGTATAATAAAAGAGCTCCAACTCAAATTGGTCTAAAGCCTGAATACATTTTCCATTTTCATCCTGTTTTTTTTATCATCTATAGAAACCTGTAGGTGATCTTAAACTAAAGGTGTCCCTTGAGTATAATGTTTTTTTAACTGATTTTCTAAGTAATATTAGTGGTTTAAATTCTAAAATAGTCAGTTGCTCTTGCTAAGCAAGATGTTTTAAAATATTTTAAAAGTGACATTTCATTATATGAATAGAAATATATGTAATCACTCCTAAAATTATACATATATCTATAGTTATAAATGCATTATAAATGTTGCATAATCAAATTCATGATGCTATCACTGAGGTACTTGTTGAAAGTATTGCTTGAGAGCTTGACTTTGACACAAAAAAGTCAGCACATCTGTTTTATTCCTGACAAGGATTTTTCTGATTTTGTATCAAAACTAACACCTGATGGTTCGATATCATGTAATTCTAAAAACTAAAATTCACTGGCTAGATTTAGCTTAGACACTTTGAATTGCAAAGACACTGAATACTTTCTATTATTAGATTTGATTATGAAGCTTTATTCTAGAACTTAGGCATGTTTCTTGTCAAAACTCCTAATATCAAAAAAAAATGGCAACCCGGAAGTAAGGGGGATCTAAGAAATATTGAGGTCCCAGGGGTAAGTTTAATTTACAGGTAGTGGAACATGCACACTCTACTCTTTCTCATACTATTATTTTCAGTGTTTGGCTAAAAAGCCTCAGACTTGGTTCAAGTGGGGATCATAATTGCCCCATCTATTGCAAATTTTTGTTTTGCTGTGAATAAAATGAAATCATGTTTTTGAAGGAAGCCCTGTATTATATACTGTAAAGTGTTAAATAATTTATAGTATAATAATCACTACTTCAAATTTAGCATATAGCACGTTTCAACAGAAAAAGTGATAATTTTAAAAATTTCTTTCATAATTGACAAACTATCCACTCATCCCTATATATTTGGGATTGTTATTTATATATTATGGATGGAAAACATTAGGCTTAGAAATGCTAATTAAAATTAGGGAGTAAGTGATGGCAAAACCAAAATTTAAATTTATAGACTCTTCATTCCTCAGTTCAGTGAATTATGCTTCCTTTGGAACACTGTGTTAGACTCTCAGATTATACTGAGATATATTAAAATATAGAGAGTTTAATTATTCAATTTAAAAAAAAATGGCAACCCGGTTCCCGCTAAGGGCACGTACTTGGGTTGCAGTTTGTCCCCGGCCCTGGATGGTCGTGCGGGTGGCAGCCACTCAATGTGTCCCTTCATGTCGAAGTTTCTCTCTCTCTCTCCCTCCCACTCTATCTGTACAAAAAATGGAAAAATATCCTCGGGTGAGGATAAAAAAAAATAAAAAAAATAAAAATAAATGATACATAATGCATAAAGAGAAGGTAGGCCTATAACAGCAACAAAATCATGTGTGATTTTGATGGAGCCAAAACCAGCCTGATGAGGTAGAGTTGTAACAATTTTGGAAAGAACTGATTTTATGTAGACATTGAAACTTTATATTTAGAGATTAAACATACTAGGAAAATCTTAATCATCCATGCTGTAAAGTATTATGCAGCTATTAAAATAAATGAAATACTGCCGTGGCCGGTTTGGCTCAGTGGTTACAGCGTCAGACCGCGAACTGGAGAGTCCCGGGTTGGGTTCCTGCTAAGGGCACTTACCTCGGTTGCAGTTTGTTGGGGTCCTGTGGGTGGCAACCATTCGATGGGTCGCTCTCACATTGATATTTCTCACTCTCTCTTCCTTCCTCTCTCCTTCCCGCTCTATCTAAAGATACATGCAAAAATATCCTCGGGTGAGGATAAAAAATAAATAAATGAAATACTTCCTCATGAACTAATATGGTAGGATGCCTGTGATATATTACATAAGAATGACAAATTGCATAATGATATAATAGTATGATTCCATAAAAAAATTAATGCTTAGTATATACCTACATATATATGTATGTTATTTGTGCACCCCTACATACACATCTGTAAACATTAAGAAGGGTTTGAAAGTATTAGCATGAAACGTTAACAATAATTTCCATAGTTGTCAATATCTGACTTACTTTAAAAATTATTTTATGATTTATTTTTACACTTTGGGGGATAAATATCACAGAGCATTCAAATATATTTATATCATAAAAATTAATTCCGATGCTTTCAAAAAAACCTATAAGCTCATTATATCCCAACCTATATAGAGATTACATTTTTTAAAAGTCTTTTTAACAAAATTTAGTTGTTTTGGTAGTTGTTTAGTTAGTAAAGGTCACTGGGATCAAACTTCCTATTTGGACAAAGGGGAAAAGAGAAACTTACTAAGGTAAAATAATGACTGCAAAATATCTAGAAATTAAGGTCTTTCATAAATAATAGAAACAGTGTGCAACTTAACAGTATGTTAAGACGGTGGCTAAAAGTCTACAGGAAAAGTGGAAAAATGATTGAAAGTTATAAAATATGCAAAATCAAATGTAAACCAAACTCTAGACATTCAGAGATCTAAGTACTATATTTCAAACTTCCTTAAATTCAGTAATCTAATAATCTCATAATTATACTTCTCTTCATTCTGACAATTTCTTAAAGTATTATAACATTTAAGCCTACATTTTATTTTTAAAAATCTTAAGCCATTTTTAATCTTAAAAATAATTTAAAAAGTTATTAATCAGGTTGAGATAATTAAATACCACTTCAGTGCTTTAGAACCATTACATTCCACATGACAGAAAATATTAATTTTCCTTAGAGCAAGTATCAAATTTATGTTTGCAAATATATATATATGTTACTTTTACACTTGTAATTCTGCATGTGTACATATTTTATAATAAAACATAGCACACTCTTACCCCAGCTTTGAAAATCCCAGTGAAGTTCTAGATAAAAGTCACCTAGCTGAGAAATAAAATATGAATAATTACTGAATTCACTTTAGTTAACAGCTCCTATATCTATATAACATTTTGCTTTTTAAAAAAATCTGTTATCTTTAAGGTCCATAGGTAAGAACAGAAAGCTTTCAATGTTTAGAGTTGTCAAAAAAAGAAAAAAAATGTTTATTACTTAAAATAAAACATTACAGTATTTTTCTACAAAGAAAAATATGCACCACTGTAGATTTTATAATAACATTTTAATCACATAGAAAAATATCTGAAACTGATAGGCATTTACATTTGTAACAATAAATATTCCATTACTCAGCATATCTAAAATAAGTATTATTGTAAAAATAGTTAATAACTATCAAAGCATTATAAAACATGATTTCCAAAATGATTATTTATGTAGCCTCATAATGGTCTAAAAAAATGACCCATTACAATAGAAACTTTATTTCTATAAAGTGATTAACACAAAGGTTTACTAAATCTGAAATAATATGTCAATAATATGGAAACTATAGAGAAAATTTTTATTTCACAAATTAGAAGCTAAACACCAATGACTATAACTTTTTTTTTTTTTCATATGATTGGTTTAATTTTTTTTTCAGCAGGAGAAAAAAGAATAAAGTTTTTTGTGTTTTTTTTTCATCAATGACTATAACTATTAAGGAAACTAAAAAAATCAAATATTCTTCAAAAAAATTATCTCTTGAGCATTGAAAACAAAAAGCATACCTAAGAGAAGACACAGTCATCCTCATAGATCTATCTTTCTCCCACAGTTCTTTTAGGCATCAAAAATACAGAAGAAAAAGTCAGAAAATAAATCTCTTTTTGTGCCAGCATCCCTAGCTCTTACTATCTTGAGGTAGGACACAAATAAGTTTAATAAGGAATGTGTTATATATGGAAAATGCAAACTGCTCCTGCTAGAAGCAGCGGCTTCAGCTCTTAGAGAATCTTCTAATCCAAAGGACAAAAAAATGATTGTCATTAATTATGACCTACCTCCTTTTTTCTTAGAGGTCTCATCTAATGTATTGAAAGCATTAATTCTTTATCTACCTTCCTAGTTCAAAGTAAATGGTGCTTCACATAAGAGTACAGTTATACATCATAATCAGAGTATTTTGTTATGTTATTATTGCTTAATTTAAGCAGGATATTTACCATTTCTTGACTCTTAATAATTAATAAGAAATTAGGCTATATTTTAAAAATGCTTAAAACTACACATAATTATTCTTTGAGTGCAAAATCAGCAAAGAAACATAGCCTACCTCCTTCAGGGCTTTTAATAATCGAGGTCGTTTTTCTTCAACACTTTCCCTGGATTGTTGCTTAAGCTTCCTTAAAAGAGCTGTAACTACAATTTAAATTTTAAAAAATGTTTAATTTAAAATAGATATCACCATGCTAGAAAACACCACTGCTTTTATACTGATATACTGAGAGATACACATATTGTTAACAAGTTAGCAAATAAGTTTAATAACACTATTATCCTGAAAGAAATTGAGACGAGATACCTCAACATCAATTTATATTCATTCACACTAGTTTTTCTAGTTTTTAACTATCTGTATGAATTTACCTGACTGAGTCAAGATACACCAATCTCAGTCAGATGATGCCACTTTCCTAAAATCATAATTATCTGCGATTGTTACCAGGTACTGTTTATCTGTTCTTTTTAGCAGTTTGTATTCTCACATACTACTAATACAGAAATGAATCTTATTCTATCTTTGAAAATAATTTCTGAACCTAATAAAACCTGAAGACTTCCTTAGTGTTTTCTCAATAATTAAGAGGTTGACATTTAAATACTACATTCAAGTGCAAACCCCAACTTTACTACTTATTAGCTGTGTATAAGCTGGGACAAGTTATAAAATTTCCCCAAACTTAAGTTTCTCTTTGTTTTCATTTGTCAAATAAGAATAAAGTCAAATCTACTACACAGAGTTACTGTAAAATCTCACTATAAATGGCTTACTACTATGCCTACAATTAAGTAAATATAATTTTTAATCTATTAGAATGAAGATCTAATACTGACTAAAAAAAAAGAATCATTCAATCCCTAACATTTATTGAAATGAGGGAAAACTCTAGATTTGAATGAATTAAGGTTAGCAAAAATAAGAAAATGGAAAAATGTGGATTGAGATTTTTAAAAAATGTATACATCGCTCTGGCCAGTTTGGCTCAGCAGTTTAGACCACTGGCCTACAAAGTGAAGGGGTGCGGGTTCGATTCCAGTCAAGGGCACATACCTGGGTTGCAGGTTCCATCCCTGGCCCCAGTCGGGGTTGTGCAAGAGGCAAACAATCAGTGTCTCTTTCACATCAATATTTTTCTCTTTCTTTTTCTCTCCCTCCCTCCCTTCCACTCTATCTAAAAATCAATGGAAAAAATATCCTCAGGAGAGGATTAACAACAACAAAAAATATATATACATTGATACATACTGATTTCCTCCTGGTCCTGAAATATTTCATATACATATATATGTAAAGAAACTTTTTTTTTCTATTTTATAGTATGCATTCTTATAAACTATTTTAACCTTCATGTGGAATACAGATGAAAACAGAAGGTTAAAAAAAAGAAACAGAAAGAAGATAGTAGTGAAAGCTTGGACCAGATTTGTTTTGTCCAACAGGACAAATTAGAAAAGGCCAAAGAAGAATTCTGAAGAACAGTAAAACGTATTCCTACTTTAGCCACAGTTCTAACAATAACGCCAATATATTTTTAAAAGCTAAAAATCAAAGAACAATGTTTAAATTACTAAAGGTCGCTCTGGCCACTTTGGCTCAGCGGTTGAGTGTCAGCCTGCAGACTACAGAGTCCCGGGTTCAGTTCCCAATAGGGGCACGTAACACACAAAAATAATAATAATAAATAAATAAATTACTAAGGTCTTTCAGAACAACAGAAGACCTAGAGTTAAAAAACATAAAACCTAGTGTCATTTATAAACTAGCTCTGTGACTTAGGGCAATAGTTCCCAAACACAAGTCTACATTTCAGTGCCCAATTGTTTATGTTTCCAGTGATATGCAGCAAAAGGAAAAAACTGGAAACTAGAATGGGGTTTTTTCTTTATAAATTACAAGCTATTCCAATTCAAGAACTATTCTTTCTTCTATTTTTGGCTTCAAGATGTCTTTTTCTTAATAAAAAGATCACAGAAGAAAGCGGTTATCATTTTTTTTAGTTCCTATATGCTAAAATAAATATGTTAACTATTCTGCATCAATCTTCAAATACATTTTTTTTTCTGTCCTGTGAAATTCAAATAGTCTGAGAACCAATGACCTAGACAATCGTTAAGATTCTTTACAGACTTAAATGTATATGAGTCTGGTTAACCTTCAAGGTTGTTATAATTTAACTCTAATATCAGAGATACATTACCCAAATATAGTAGCTTTTCTTCCTCACTATAAGCTCAAATACTCTAATAAATCTTTATTCAAGCTCTCTTGCCTTCAAATTGAAATGGATCTCTGCTGAATGTAAAACATGAAAAGAATTTAATTCCTAGACTGAAAAGGTACCTTAATGTAAAGCAGAAGTCGTATTTTTTCATCAGCTAAATATATTATAACTGACTGAAGGAATTCAGGAAATAGCACAAAATAACCAAAAGGAAAAAAACAAAAAACAGGAAGACAGCTTAAGAGAACAGTGGGCCAGCTGGAAACATAATAATATTAGCATAACAGGAGACCCCAAACAAGAAGAAAATGAGCAAGGGTTAGAGAATATATTTGAAGAAATAGTGACAGAAAGCTTCCCTAATTTGGTGAAGGAAGAAGGCATTCATGTTCAAGAAGCACAGAGAACCTCAAGTAAGAAACCAAACAGGCCGACACCAAGACACATAGTAATTAAAATGCCAAAAATTAAAGACAAAGAGAGAATCCTAAAGGCAGCAAGAGATAAGCAACAGAATACCTACAAAGAAACCCCCATAAGGCTATAAGCTGACTTTTCAACAGAAACACTACAAGCCAGAAGGGAATGGCATGAAGTAATCAAGGTCAAGAAAAAAACAAGGACTGGAATCCAAGACTACTCTATCCAGCAAGGCTATCATTTAATTAGTCAAATAAAGAGCTCCCCAGACAAAAAAAAAAAAAGCTAAGGGAATACATTAGCACCAAAAGGACTGCTATAATTACTAGAAGAAATAGGAAGAAAAACATAATCACACTAAAAAAAAATGGCAATAAATAAGTACATATCAATTGTCATCTTAAATGTAAATGAACTAAATGCCCAGATTACACAGAGTAGCTGATGAAATAAGAAAGCATGACTCATATATATATGTAGTTTACAAGAGATCCACCTCACAAAAAAAAAAAAAAAAAAACTCACATAAGTTGCAAGTGAAGGGATGGAAAAAAAATCTTCCAAGCAAAAGAAAGAAAAAAAAAATTGGGGGTAGCAATACTCATACCTGATAAAGTAGATTTCAAAATGAAGGCCATAACTAGAGACAAAGAAGGTCACTACATAATATTGAAAGGATCTATTCAACAGAAAGATAAAACCTTGGTGAACATATATGTACCCAATATAGGAGCACCAAAATATCTTTAAAATCTTCTGGAGGATTTCAAAGGTGAAATCAACAGTAATACAATCATAGCAGGGGACTTCAACACCCCGCTGACATTACTTGATAGATCCTCTAGACAAAAAATTAACAAGGAAACAGAAACTCTAAATGAAGCACTAGACCAAATGGATTTAATAGATATCTACAAAGAATTACACCCCAAAACTACAGAATTCACATTCTTCTCAAGTGCACATGGGACATTCTCTTTTTTTTTTTAAACCTAAGCATCATGATGCTAGGAACTTGTGCGCCAGCCACCCTGTGGCACCTGCTGATCTGGGCTCGTCACTTTTTGCCAACATCCTTGGCTACAAACTTGGCTGCTATTTCTGCAATGATGTTGTGGCCCCAGGAGATGTAAGTGAATTTCTTTGTCGTTCCAAATATTTCCTACAGCTGTCTTGCCCACTAGGGCAGAGAGACTCAGCTCTTCCCTTTATGACTATTTATTTATTTATTTATTTATTTATTTATTTATTTATTGAATTTTATTTATTTATTTATTTTTTTGTTACAGATATTTTACCTTTTTACCCCATTGGCACCCCCCACCCCCACCCCCTCCACCCTGTCCCCGGTTTAGTTATCCATGTCCATTGGTCATGCATACATGCATATAAGTTCTGTGGTTTATCTCTTCCCACCCCCCCACCCCCCATCCCCTCTTCTGAGGGATGTCAGTCTGTGCCCTACTTCCATGTGTCTGGGTCTACTGTATTCCTCAGACTGTTATGTTCATTATATTCCGTATATAAGTGAGATCATGTGGTATTTGTCTTTTTCTGCTTGGCTTCTTTCACTTAGGATAATACTTTCCAGGTCCCTCCATGTCGTCTCAAAGGATAAGAGATCTTTCTTTCTTACCGCTGCATAGTATTCCATTGTGTATATGTACCACAGCTCTTTTATTCACTCGTCTACTGATGGACACTTGGGCTGTTTCCAGATCTTAGCTATTGTAAATAGTGCTGCTATGAACATGGGGGTACATATATTCTTCCTGATTGGTGTTTCAGGCTTCTTAGGGTATATTCCCAGCAGTGGGATCACTGGGTCAAATGGAAGTTCAATTTTTAATTTATTGAGGTAGCACCATATTGTTTTCCACAGCGGCTGCACCAGTCTGCATTCCCACCAGCAGTGTATTAGAGTCCCCTTTTCTCCACACCCTCGCCAACACTTGTTGTTTGATGATTTGTTGATGGCGGCCATTCTGACAGGTGTGATGTGATACCTCATAGTTGTTTTAATTTGCATCTCTCTGATGATTAGTGATGTTGAGCATTTCTTCATGTGTCTCTTGGCCATTTGTATGTCCTGTTTGGAGAGGTGTCTATTCAGCTCCTCTGCCCATTTTTTAATTGGGTTCTTTGTCTTCCTTTTGTGGAGTTGTATGAGCACTCTGTATATATTGGAAATTAACCCCTTATCTGATACATCATTGGCAATGATGTTCTCCCATACAGTGGGTTGCCTTTCCATTTTGATGATTGTTTCTTTTGCTGTGCAGAAGCTTTTGAGTTTGATGTAGTCCCATGTGTTCATTTTCTCCTTTATTTCTGTTGCCTTAGGTGATGTATCAGTGAAAATTCTGCTCCGTATGATGTCCGAAATTTTGTTGCCTACATTTTCTTCTAGAATTTTTATGGATTCATGGGTCACATTTAAGTCTTTTATCCATTTCGAGTTTATTTTTGTGTATGGTGTAAGTTGATGGTCTAGTT